CTGGGAGAGGCGGTGGAAGTAAAATCAGGGGTGAGGCAGGGGTGTCCGCTTGCTCCATACCTCTTCCTCTGCGCGGTGGAGCCGCTTGCGCAAGAAGCTGTAAAAATAGTAGGTAGAGTTAGGAGCCATAGCTAGGTAAGTCCTAGCTAGGCAAGAGAAGTTGAGGCAAAAGAAGAAGAGGGGGTTCACTAGAAAGCAGCAGGATACATATAGGAAACCCTAAGGGGTTGTACTCGCTATAGAGTATCCCACTGCAGGCTAGAGAACAATGACATTCTGACACACCCCCATAGCCAAAGTGGGGTGTAATCAGCAGAGCAAGCAAAGCAGAACAAGCTCAGGGTGGATCACAATGTCACCACACATTCTGAGCACAAGTACAAGAAGCAATAGTTTAAAGTTCACAATTATGAGCAAAGCTAGAGGCTTTCGCAGAGGGCAAGTGAGGAGGAGGAGGCGAGAGTGAGAGGAGAGGAGATAGGAGGCGACGGCTGAAGCTGCAGACACACGAGCAACAGGAGTCACACTGGCACAGCGGCTACCGGAACAACGCTCCGGACTACTGGAGTAACTGGCTCCGCGGCTAAAAGTAGCGGCAGACGAGCAACGGACCCACGGGCGACTGGCACAGCTGGCTGCGACTGGGCTACCGGAGCAACTCCCCGGACTACAGGTGCTGCTGGCGACACGACGGCAACCTCAGTTCAACCTCCCCAAACAGTCCCACTCCCCCTGACACACACCCCCTGCTTCACCCCTAGCTCCACTCCCCCTTCACCCCCCTTAGTACCACTCCGACGGCTCCAACAGGTCCACCCCCCTCAGCGGCAGCTGCAGCACTGGGAGACGGAGGAGGAGGAGGAGCAGGGGACGGCACACAGAAGCTGCACCCCCAGACCCCCCACCCCCAAACCCTAATTCAGGAGAACGGGCAGCAGCAGGGGTGGGGCGCCATCAGAAGCACGGGGGACAGCGGGCAGCGCAGGGGCAGCGAAGAACGGGCCGCCCACGGGCCTGGCACAGCCGCCCGAACCGCGCGCAGGCGGCCCGAGCCGCGCGCGGGCCTGGCGCAGCCCGTACGGGCCGCGCGCGGGCCTGGCGCAGCCCGTACGGGCCGCGCGCAGGCTGTACGAGCCGCGCGCAGGCCACGACGGGCGACGGGGGGCGACGCGCGGGTCCCCGTCGCCCGTCGCAGCGCCTCCCGGGAGCGACGCGCGGAGTGACGGGGCAGAAACCCGCCGCGCGCCTCGGGGCGCACGGCGGGCAGACAACCGCCGCGCGCCTCGGGGCGCACGGCGGGCAGAAAACCGCCGCGCGCCTCGGGGCGCACGGCGGGCAGAAAACCGCCGCACGCTCCGAGCGCGCGGCGGGATGAAAAATCCGTCGCACGCCACGGGGCGTGCGACACAGAGAGTGGCAGTAGCAGCGGAAGCAGTGAGGTGGTGAGCCCACCCACAGGATCGACCCAAGGGGATGGACCTCCTCTGATACCATGTGAAAATAGTAGGTAGAGTTAGGAGCCATAGCTAGGTAAGTCCTAGCTAGGCAAGAGAAGTTTAGGCAAAAGAAGAAGAGGGGGTTCACTAGAAAGCAGCAGGATACATATAGGAAACCCTAAGGGGTTGTACTCGCTATAGAGTACCCCACTGCAGGCTAGAGAACAATGACATTCTGACAGAAGCGTGTAGGCGGAAGCTGGGCCTCTGCAACAAAGCTGGACAGCGGTTGGTTTACCTGGGTTACGCGGATGACACAACACTGTTTTTGGAGGGAAAACGCCAGATCGCCAGGGCAGGAAAACTGCTGAAGCAATTTGCAGAGATGTCAGGTCTGGTCACCAACAGGGAAAAATCGGTTGTCATGCCGCTGGGGCATAATCTTGGAAGGAGACCTGGGACTTTGGGGGGCTTCAAATGGGCAAAGGCAGATGAAGCTGAACGCCTTCTGGGGGTCTGGATCACCCCCTCCGGTAGCAGCGAACCGACATGGTTAAGGGCTTTCGAGAAAATTACAGTGGAGCTGATCAAGTGGAAAGCGCTTTTCCTTACGATTGCGGCAAGGGTGGTGATCATAAACTGCTACATCACGCCTAGGGTAGCTTACCAGGCTCAAGTTTACCCCCCACCGGAAGAAGTCTGGAAGAAGCTGATGAAGTTAATTCATAACTTTCTGTCGGGGAATAACGCGTCGGCGGATGGAGGTTTTGTGCTGTGGAGCTGGGATCTCCTCTCTACTCCGCGAGGTGATGGGGGGCTCGGAGAACTGGACCCGGAGGTCCTCATGGCTTGTCTTGCGGCCAGGAGAATCGCTGGACTCCTGTCGGAGGGGAACGGCAAGAAAAAAGAAATCATGCTTAAAGCGGCGGGGCTCCCGATGGGAGAAGACACTTTCACGGCGCACGAAAAGGTGTTGAAGCACTGGCCGGGACACGGGGAGCGGTGGAAGCAGACCTGCGAAACTTTCCTGAAATCGCCTCTCGCTGACACAGGGAAAGTCAGTAGCAAGGAGGAGGTGGCGCTGGAAAGAATTATTTTCAACAGGAACGTGCTGCTGAACGGCACTAACCCAGTGGGCGGGCAGAAGGAGGCGAAAGGGCTCTGGGATACTCGCATGGGGGACCTGGTAACCACATCGCCCTCAGGCGAAGCAGCAGTTAAGGACATGGATGTCTTGGAAAAAGAGTTGAGGGGCAAGGACTCTGCTCGGCTGGCTCTCAAAGCCTTTGCTGCAGCCCCGGAGGAGTGGAAAACCCTGCTGATCCCCAACGGCACGGCTGGAGGAGGAGGGGAGAAAGAAGCGGTTACAGCGGTGACAGCAGGGGGGTGTCGCGGGGCCACGGCTTCAATTTTCCGGTCAGCAATTTTTGACGGAGAGCGAGCAGCTTCTCTGAAGCGGATGAGGGAGGTGTGGACCAAACCCGATGCAGTCCTAACGAAGCAGGCAAAGTGGTCTGGTCGATGGTGCGGCAAGATTGACTGGCAGCGAATCATTCGCACACGTAACTCGCTGGCCATCCCGAGCCGACCGAGAGATGTCCTCACACGGGTGCATAACCTGAACCTTCAGGTCGGGGAGCGAGTTGATTTTCTCAGCTGCAAGCCAAAATGCCCATACTGCGGAGTGGAGGAAACGCACGAACACTTTCTTTTCTCCTGCCCGAGAATTCAGCCAGTTGTCTCAGGGCTCCGTCGTGCTCTGCGCATGCTCAATCCAGGGAGGTCAACTGCCTCGCTGGGGGACCTCTTGTTCCAGGAAACCGGAACGGCGTCGGATTTCCCGGAGGCTACCCTCACATCGATTACTTTTCATCAGCTGTGGGTGGAGAGATGTGAAGCAACTTTCCGAGGGCAGAAATTCAGAGCCCGGAGGGTTCTCAGGAGGATTGGGTCGGCTTTTAGGCTACACGCGAGAGTGTACACGAGAGCAATGGGTGCCAAAAGCTTGCGGCCAGGGACATCAGGGAAGGGAAAACGGGTCAGGAGTGTTTTCGAAGCGGAGCAAAAAATGCTGGCGAGGATAAGGGAGACAGGTGACAAAAAATGGAAGTGGTCGACAAACTTCGCTGCTATCTGGAACAAGCCAAAGCGGGCGTTCCTGCCGCCCTAGATGCATTACTGGGCAGTGCATGGTGCAGTGCCCTCACGCTCAGTTACGACTGCTTTTGATGTATGCATTGTCCTCATAAATGTATATGTCAAAAAAAAAAAAAAAAAAAAGCTGCTTCGGCATTGATGATAATTTACATTACAGAATGTTGCGCCCTCACTAGTCTCCTATGAAGAAATATTATTCAAAGCTAATGATAAAGCCTCATTTCTGGTCGTTGTTTTGTTGACATCTCCATGCATGCATCATTCCTGCTTCTTAGGCAGATACACCTTCACCAGTTGAACTGCCATCATCGCAACGCAACCATTGGTCGCTGGTGCTGGCCAGCTTCATCTTCCGCCCAGCTTCAGTTCCCTAACCTAACCAGCGAGGTAAGGGAACACCTTCTGCCATACAGCAATTGCCAGACCTAATTACCAGACCTGCATCCGGACCTAGCTTCGAAACGCTGGCGCCTCGAAGCTAGGAATTTGCTGATAAAAGCATTTTGACGAACAAAACATAGAACCTAGAAGTTGACAAACGCTCGCTGTATCTGCCAACATCGAAGTGATCGCACCAGCGTTGGGAGCCCCACCAACCTTCCAGTGTCTGGGAATAGGCTGTCAGTTGACCCGGCGTTCACAGGAAAGCGGCGACTCCCTCCACTCAAATTCGTGTGCTCCGTTTCATCTTGTCAAACCGTGTCATCCCATCTCAAGTGAGGAGTAAAGCAGGGTCGTACGCCGCGACCATGCTGAGAATGGGGTACTTCTACCCAAGGACGGACCCTGTAACGCGTACTGACACGCCCGTTACACCACTGATTCAAGGTAAGCAGCACTGGATTTCTGTTCCCACAAAACTGCATTCCCGCTGTTTCACCAAACCATTCGTGCCTACCACCACCAAGCACGAAAAAGCTCTAATGCTTCCTGACACAGGAAGTATCATAGCACACTAGCATCGAATTGCCCGGCTAATTGCCGCCATTGTCAGCGTAATTATGTTTGTTAAGTCGTGTGCACCCATTGTTGACCTTCAGAAAAAGAAGTCATAGGGGCGTCGACTCCTTGTTATTTTTTCCTGACGTGAGCACTCGATTTGCACGTCAGCTGTATTGAGGAATAGCCGCTACGCCAAGCTTCGCTCTAGCTTTCTTACATTCCTTGATTACGTGCTCGTGAATTTGAGCAGATTCTCACCTAATGGCAGGCGCGGGGCAAGCACATTCAGCGTCGCCGCCAGAACCCCGGTTCACGATTGACGACGTCGCAGAGACTCACGACGACGACCACGACGACGTCGGCAATGTCGCACACGAAGTGGTCATTGTCGCGAACGGATTCCGATCCGGCGACTCGTCGTGGCCGCAGGCGAAGTCGTCGTCTTCCCCGCTCTCCACCACGATCATGCGCCAAGGGAAGTTAGATGCGCAGGACGATCTCGACGCTAACAACGAGTTTGACAATAGAGAGGACGGCTTGGAGGATCGGGAGCCGATGCTCAAGTCGCCAGCAGGAGCAGCATCCGGAAAGCTTAAACCGTTCAGCTTGGAAACTCCGGCACACGGCGGTGGAGGGGGAGGTCACCACGGCGCAGGCGGCGGCCATGGATTCGCAGGAGCTACAGTATCAAGCGGGATCTTTAATCTCTCCACGTCGATTATCGGAGCAGGCATTATGGGTCTACCAGCCACTCTCAACGTGCTCGGCTTGCCGCTCGGAGTGCTGCTGCTTGTAGCGATGGGGCTTCTAACGGAGCTGTCGATCGAGGTGCTGGTGAACGCGTCGGCGGTGCGGCGAATCTGGACGTACAGCGGGCTGGTGGTGGAGGACTGCGGGCAGCGGTCGCGCCTGGTGCTGGATCTGGCGGTGCTGGTGAACAACGTGGGCATGTGCACCGTGTACCTCATCATCGTTGGTGGGTGTTGGTGTGTTGGTGTGTTGGTGTGTTGGCGTGTTGGCGTGTTGGTGTGTTGGCGTGTTAGTGCGTTGATGCGTGTTGGTGCGAGTTTTGAGATTAAACCCAGCGGTCGCGCCTGGTGCTGGATTTGGCCGTGCTGGGGAACAACGTTGGCATGTGCACCGTGTACCTCATCATCGTTGGTGCGTTGCTGCGCTGGTGTGTTGGTGTGCTGGTGTGCTGGTGTGCTGGTGTGCTGGTGTGCTGGTGTGCTGGTGTGCTGGTGTGCTGGTGTGCTGGTGTGCTGGTGTGCTGGTGTGCTGGTGTGCTGGTGTGCTGGTGTGCTGGTGTGCTGGTGTGTTGGTGTGCTGGTGTGCTGGTGTGCTGGTGTGCTGGTGTGTTGGTTGCTGGTGCGTTGAGGCGTTGGTGTGTCCGTACGTGCACCAGGGCTGCGATTTGGACGATGAAAGAACTGATTCGAAAAGAAGTGGTGACGGGGAGGGGGAGTTAGTAACTTAGAAAGGCTGGTGAGCTTGCACTAATCGAGGTTCTGGCTGGGTTTGCTGGTGGGAGCGGAACAAGGTTCTTGCCCCTAATCGTCGTAACCAACTCACATTTCTGTTTGTCCCAGTTCCCTTCACACAGACACCCGCGAGAATATCTGCAGCGGAGGAGGGAGGTTATACGTGAGTCGTTTCTGTTTATTACACCCCAGACCAGCTTCCGAACCCAAATCTCCCTTTTCCCACCCCCACCCAGCTGATGTTTTTACCCGCACATCAGTGCAGCATGCAGGATTATCCTAAGTAAAAGCCTTTCGCATAAAAAATATCGTTTCCATCAGACCTAATGCAGTGTTTTTACATTACACCCCCTCCTTCCCTTCTCCTTCCCTTTCCATCCTCTCTCTCCTTCCCCCCACATCCCAAACCCCCAAACCCCGTTTTCCCCCCAGCTCCAGCTGACATCATGACATGGTGGCGGACACATCAGCACAGCACGTGGCATCGTTCTCAGTGGTTTCAGTGCAAGAAACCCCACTTCCATCAGACCCCAAAACCACTTTCAGATATTCCCCGGCCTTCTCCCACCCTCCCCTCTCCCTCCCATTCGCCCCTCTCTCTCCTCCCCCACCCTACACCCCCAACTCCCCGTACCAACCCCCTGCTTCTTCCCCCGTTTGCAGCGGATGTGGTGGCGGGCACATCAGCGCAGCACGTGGGGGAATCCCCAGTGGACGCCATGCGGGAGGCATCGCTGCATGAGGGGCTGCTGGAGGAGTGGGGGCTCGTGGCGGGGGCGTGGTGGCCCATGCGCAAATAATCACTTTCATCAGACCCCAAATTATATTTCAAATATCCCCCCGCCTCTCCCTTTCCCCCTCTCCCTTCTCTCTCCCCCCCACTCCCACACCCCATTCCCCAACCCTCCCTTCTTTCCCCCATCCCCAGCTGACGTTGTGGCGGGCACATCAGCGCAGCACGGGGCAGCATCCCAGGTGGAGGCCATGCGGGAGGCATCGCTGCATGAGGGGCTGCTGGCGGAGTGGGGGCTGGTGGCGGGGGCGTGGTGGCCCATGCGTCCCATCGTCATCATCTCCACCATGCTGCTCGTGCTCGCCCCACTCGTGGCCCTTAAACATGTTGGTGAGTAAGTGAGTGGTGACTTCTGAGTCGACTCAAGAATCGGCTGGGGGGGGCGGGGGCGTGGTGGCCCATGCGTCCCATTGTCATCATTTCAACTATGCTGCTCGTGCTCGCCCCGCTCGTGGCCCTGAAACACGTCGGTGAGTGAGTGAGAGCTGCTCAAACACGTCGGTGAGTGAGTGAGAGGTGACTTTTGGTCGACTCAAGAGTCGGCTGGTGGCGGGCGCGTGGTGGCCCATGCGTCCCATCGTCATCATCTCCACCATGCTGCTTGTAGTCGCTCCCCTCGTAGCCCTAAAACACTTCGGTGAGTGAGTGAATGGCGCTAAAACACTCCGGTGAGTGAGTGAATGGCGCTAAAACACTCCGGTGAGTGAGTGAGAGAGGTGGATTTTGGGTCGAGTCAAAGGCGGCTGGTGGCGGGGGCCAACACGTGGGTGAGTGGCGTGGCGTGGCGCAAGGAACGAGACCGTGGCGGAGGGAGCGAGGGCGGGCAGGTGCTCGTGCTGTGTTGGTTGGTAAGCACCAAGATTGGTGTGCTTGTGTGTGGTGTGTCATCTGGAATCGACCGAGTGAGAGAGAAGTGGTAGGGAGTGTGAGTGTGTGATCACCACCACTTAGCCACAAGGGCTGTACAACACCTCACGAGAGAGAGACCAAGTCAAGTGGGGACGATGAGAAAAGGAAGCGGGAAATTTGGTAAAACACGGCCAGTAAAGGCGAACTAGTAGATTGCCACTCGTGCCTTGTTCCCACCCGTACTCCTGTGCTTCCCTACCATGCCCATCACACATGCCACCAACAATGCCTACTAAACCCTCAACCCGGTCCTTTTTACTGCTCCCCCACCCCTCCCGTCCTCCCCCCCCCCCCCCCCCCCCCCCTTTCCCCTCCCCCAAGACTCCCTGCACTACACATCCACGCTGTCCATAGCGCTGGCGGTGGTGTTTGTGGTGATCACAGTGGGCGTGGCGGCAGCGCAGTGGGTGCAGGGGCTCATTCACCTGCCCCTTCTCATTCCCCACTCCTCTTCCCCCTTTCCCCCATCCCCTCCCCATCCCCTCCCCCTCCCCCTCCCCTTCTCCCTCCCCGTCCCCCTCCTCCCCACCTCTCCCTCCCCCTCCCCCTCCCCCTCCCCCTTCCTCGCCCTCCACCCCTTGCAGACTCCCTGCACTACACATCCGCGCTGTCCATAGCCCTGGCAGTGGTGTTTGTGGTGATCACAGTGGCCGTGGCCGCAGCGCAGTGGGTGCAGGGGCGCATCCAGCCGCCGCGCATGCTGCCCGCGTGCTCCTCACTCAAAGACCTCTCTGGCCTCTTCTCCGTCATGCCGGTGCGTGCGTGCGCGAGGGGGAGGGAGTGCGAGGGAGTGTGGGGGAGATTGAGCAAGTGCGGGTGAGTGTGGGGGAGTGTTGGGTGTGAAGTGAATGGATACTCGCTCCGCAATTAGCAAGGTGCTTGTGAAAGGCACACCTGTTTCTTTCCTCCTCCATGGTTTCTTTCCCTTATGCCCCCATCCCCTCCACCAAATCCCCACACCCCCCACTCCTCCCCCCCTTTCATCTCCCCCACCTGCCCTCTCTCTCTCGCGCGTTCCTCTTCCCCCTTCGTGCACGAGGCGAATCCAAACTTACCCGGGCTTTTATTTCCTCCATCACCGCACCACACTTTCTTCTCATCAGCCCCTCTTGCCTCCCTCCTGCTTCTCCCATGCAGGTGATGGCAACAGCATATGCGTGCCACTACAATGGTAAGCAAGGATGCCCTCACAACTCCATCATCAACTTCCCATCCTCTCTCTAATTGGCTTGCTTGCATGTCAACACTCGGCAATCAAGCCACTTGCATCCTCTCCCCATGAGTCACCTCTGCAAGTGTATTTCCAGGCAGCCCATTCACTTTGCCTGCCATTGTGACATCATCATCAAGGATTGTCATAATGATCAAGCCATGTCCTCCGCTCCGCGTCCCTTCCATTCTGTCCTGACCCAGCCCTTTCACTCCCTGTTCCTCTCTCTCCTATCCCCTTCCCTGCACCCCAATCTCATTCCTCACCATACCCCTCCATCTCCATTTCCCCTTCGCTCTTCCCTCCCCTCTCTCCCCCCTTCTCCCCTCCCCTCCTCCCCCACTCCCCCACCAGTGCACTCTATTTTCGTGTCCCTCAAGGATCGCACAGCAATGCTGGTTGAAGTCACTCCTGAGAATCCTCAAACGTCTCTCCCCCTCCCCCTCTACTCCTCCCCTCGCCCTCCACTCCTCCCCTCGCCCTCCACTCCTCCCCTCCCCCTCCACTCCTCCCCTCCCCCTCCACTCCTCCCCTCCCCCTCCACTCCTCCCCTCCCCCTCCACTCCTCCCCTCCCCCTCTCTCTCCCTCTCCAGTGCACTCTATCTTCGTGGAGCTCAAGGATCACACAGCAATGCCCGAGTCACTTTTGAGAAATGTCAAATAACTCTCCCCATCCCCTCTTCCCCTCCTCACCTTCTTCCCCTCCTCTCCCTCCCCCACTCCCCCCCGCCAGTGCACTCTATTTTTGTGGAGCTTAAAGAACGCACAGCAGCAACCATGCTCCGGGTCACCCGCTCCTCGCTACTCCTCTGCACCACAGTCTACGTCCTCACATCCGTCTCCGCCTTCCTCCTCTTCGGCTCCAGCACCGCCTCAGACGTGCTAATAAACTTCGACCGGGACCTAGGCCTGCCCCTCTCCTCTCTCATCAACGACACCGTCCGAGTCACCTACGTCCTCCATATAGTCTTTGTCTTTCCCGTGATTTTCTACTCATTGAGACTAATCGCGGACGATTTGATCTTCCCCGGGGCGGAGAAGCCGCTACTGGAGGATGATAGGAGGTTTGCGGTGGTGACGGTGGGGGGGATGGTGCTGGTGGGAGTGGGGGCGGTGATGGTCCCGAATATTGGGCTTGCGTTTGATATCACGGGGGCCACTGCAACGATGCTGCTTGCCTTTGTCTTCCCGGCTCTGCTCACTCTCAGGTACGAATGTTTGCCTCACCATTTACCATTTGCCTCCATTTGCCATTTGCCTTGCCATCTTATTGCCATCGTCTTCCCATCACACCTCTCCATCACCTTCCCACCACTCCCTCTCTCCCACCACCTGTCAATCACGCGTGTTTCCACCACCATCCCCATCACCTTTCCACCACCTTGCACTTCCATTTCCTGCTGTGGTCATCTCATGCTCCTATAATAAGGCTTTGCTTGCATGGCACACCAGTCAACTTTTCATCCTTGCTTGCCCCTGCCTCCTTCCCATGCTGTGTTGAACCAACCCTCACCCCGTGCATTTCTTCCACTCCAATCCCCACCCCATGCTCCGCCCTCATCCGCTGCTCACAGGGACCGGCTGGGGCTGTTTGCATCATGGCACAGGGCAGTGGCACACTTCCTTCTCGTCTTCTCTGCACTTGTCAGCGTTACAGGCCTCTCCAGTGGCCTCTACCATGCCTTTACGTAGTTTTCAGAGTAAATGCGCAGACTGCATAGTGCTTGGTTGCTGCCATGGCTTGGCTGCTTGCAAGAGCAGCGCTATTCTTATTATTCTCTCCAGCGCCATGGAGCAGTCTGGCAACTGTGAAAATATAATGTGTTTTTTTTTTTTGCCTCCTGTGATGGCTGTTTGCAGCAGCAATTTTGTGCCATGCCATGAGGCTGTTATCTGTAAGCTAGCTGGAATGCAATCTCGGTTTCATTACATAATTTCTATTTAGACAGCTGATGGTAAGGCCCTGAGATTTGACAAACCATTCTGAGCTCTCTCTTAAAGCCCGGGTACAGCATGGTATTTTTCAAGTTCAAGATTCTTGAACTTGAAGTTGCAAAAAACAGGGTAACCCTCTCTGGTTTGAAAAACAGCTCGCGACTCAGGGAAAACCTATTGCGACCCTCACTCCTGATTGGTTTCCGTGCCCAGTCGCACAACAACTCCGACCATCGCCCACAATATTGCCGTGAGCACCTCTCACATATCTTGAAGACCAAGTAGTAGTCTGCTAGAATAGGGACAGTACTAGGAAACGCGCGGCAGGGCGATAGAAGCTAGCTCAAGTAAAGGCGACTTAGGGCGTGTCCCATGAGTTCATTTGGGGAGAAAACCATCATTTTTACGTTACTGAAACAAAGCAAAACAGTGTACACTCTGACGTAAAAAACACGCAGCGCGTCAGAACCGCGCCAAACGAAATTTACCCACACGGACTCATAGCCCGCCCACACAAAAATCGTCATCCGAATCACATTTGAAATGGGCCGCGAGCGGTAACCCGCCCCAATGCGAACAAGCTGTGCCCCTTGCGACGCTCAATATTTTCGCTCTACTGGGTGTTGCGCGATTTTTCAGATTGGGGTAACGGACTGCAGGACCTGGTATGAGGTGATCGCACGTACATTGTACGCGGGGAAATACGAACCTCTTGACGTCCTAGGCGCGTCATTCAGGTGCGTCATTGAAGACGCATGTCATGCAGTCTCGTAATTCGAAGGGTTACAGGGTTACAGCCCTGAACTTGAACTGTAAACGAACGCGTCGGACACGCCCTTATTCCTTGCAACACGAGTCACTCACGCTGTCTGGCCAATCGCTGAGCAGCACAACTTCAAGCCAAGCGCTCACCGTACCTCTTTTGCATGACACTACGTCCGTGCTAGCGCACGACACGCGCAATGCTCGTAAATGGCATGAGTTGCCACACTCAAGGGATCTAGTATGACAAGAGCGCGTTACCCTCGTGAGATTGGCGGAAAAGCGACACCCGCGCTTCTTCTCGTCGCCCACACATGCTCGGGTCACGATATCTCCCACTCATCTCTCTCGCTTTCCTTCGTCGCCCGCGCTTCCCACCGTCCCGCGCTTCTCCTCGTCGCCCACGCGCGCACCCTGAACCGTCGCCCGCGCGCGCTTCTCCTCGTCGCCCGCGCGCGCTTCTCTTCGTCGTCCGCGCGCGCTTTTCCTCGTCGCCCGCGCGCGCTTCTCCTCGTCGCCCGCGCGCGCTTCTTCTCGTCGCCCCCGCCTCTTTATTTCGCCCAAGCTTCCTCCCTCCATCCCTCCCTCTCCCCTCTCTTCCTCTCTCCCTCCGTCCCTCCCTACCTTGCTCTCTACCTTCATTCCTCTGTCCCTCTGTCCCTCTCCCTCTCTTCCCTTTCTCGCTCTCTTGCCTTTCTCTCTCTCTTCCCTCTCTCCCTCCCTTTTTCGCTAAGGACAGAGGGGGAGAGACACGGGGGGAAGGACACAGGTGGAGAGACAGAGGGTGAAGGGCAGACGGGGAGAGACAGAAGGGGAAGGACGGAGGGGGAGGAACAGAGGGGGGGGGGCAGAGAGTGAGAGACAGAAGGTGAAGGGCAGAGGTGGAGAGACAGCAGGGGAAGGACGGAGGGGGGGGAACAGGGGGGGGGTGTCCCAGAGAGTGAGAGACAGAGGGTGAGAGCGGGTACTCCCCTCACTCCCTCTCCCTGTCGATCTCACTTCCCCCTAATTGTTTACACCCCCTTTTTTTTTTACCAACCTCCCTCACTCCCACCAGCTCCGTTTACCCCCCAATATATTCTCCTTTGCCTCACCTGCTTCCCCCCATCCCCTTCCCTGCTTCCCCCCATCACCTTCCCTGCTTCCCCCCATCCCCTTCCCTGCTTCCCCCCATCCCCTTCCCTGCTTCCCCCCATCCCCTTCCCTGCTTCCCCCCATCCCCTTCCCTGCTTCCCCCCATCCCCTTCCCTGCTTCCCCCCATCCCCTTCCCTGCTTCCCCCCATCCCTTCCCTGCTTCCCCCCATCCCCCTCCCTGCTTCCCCCCATCCCCTTCCCTGCTTCCCCCCATCCCCCTCCCTGCTTCCCCTCATCCCCCTCCCTGCTTCCCCCCATCACGATCCCTGCTTCCCCCCATCCCCTTCCCTGCTTCCCCCCATCCCCTTCTATGCTTCCCCCCATCCCGCTCCCTGCTTCCCCCCATCCCCTTCCCTTCTCTACACGGTGCGTAGCAACACGCGCGCGCATGCATAAGTTCTCCGATGACTGGATCCCCTTGCACAAGTGATGAGCGTCACTCTCTCCCCATTCCCTCCCCCTTACTCTCCCTCTTCCTCGCGGCAGGCCACCGAAGCACCGCATCCAGCAGATCTTCGAGTGAATCTGCCCTGAGGCGAGCTGGCGGAGCTGTGAGGCAGCCTCCTCTCGAAACTGCCTTCAGCCTCCCCTGCTGCCCAGCAGGATGCCGCGGAGCATTGATGCGGGAGGGGGCAGACCATGCCGGCAGATTTGATGGTGGCAGCGCACGTCAGATCTGCACTGCTGTGGGCCGGGGGAGTGCAGAGTGGTGCAGGGACCAGCACGGCATGTCGCTATGTGGCCGGCCGAGATCCTTATGAGTTGCGGGATTTGAGCTTGAGAGAGTGCGTTCCCGAAATGTATTGCTAATGCGTTTCTTGATATTTCATTTTTTAATTCACAATTTGCTTTCAATGCTTTTCTGCACCTATTCAGCACTTGAAATGTTGTGTTTTTCTGAAGTGAAGTCTCAAAAGCGTCCAAACATTTTAGTAAATTAGAAATTGTAAAAATAGTGTTCAGTGTACTGCCTCACTCTCACTTGCGTGAGTTTCGCGTTGCCACCATTTCAACCCCAAGAGAAGCGTAGTGTGCCCCACCAGTGGTGGGGCTGGAGCAGTGATCTGTCACACACAGAGTCGTTCGGCCCTCCCATATCCTTGGAAACAGCTGTCGCATAGTATCGTGGCGAAGGCTGTTTTACCCGCCTCTTGAATTCGCTTTCGCCCCACACACATTTTCGAAATACACGATATTTTTATTTCCGCCAGACTGTTTCAACCCCACATAACTTGAAAATTTACCATGCTGACCTCGGGCTTTAAATAAATAATAACAGAAAGCATGTACACTGGTTTCTGTTCTGGGGCTCCACCTGGTGAGCGACCACCAACCACCTGCTCAGTCACTTGCAACTCCAGTACGAAACCTCCTAGGGTAGGAACATTTGTGGAACGCCTCGCATCGCAGGCTACAGTAGCAGCTTTAAAACTGTAGCTACCACGCGCAATGCTGATTTCCACTGTACTACTGTATGCTGATTTCGCTCATGTGTCTGCCCGCAAAACCAAACCTTTTCCCACACCGCACCACCTCTCCGGTTCCTCGTGCACGGAAAGTGCGAACAGACTGCGAAGGGAAGCCAAAAATAGATGGTGCTGCTCGCAATCAGATTGCTGTACTGTAAAAGGTACAGAACGGTTCTGTGCGCGAAACGATATTCAGGAAACGATACAGTCTGTTTCTAGCGGTGTGAAGAGCATTCTTCCCCCCACACCTCTCTCTTGATCAGTCCCACTACCACTTCGAGTTGACGGAGCGACGTTGACTCTTCAGTAGTAGTACTAGGGTCTTCCGCATGCCATGGCGCTACCGTCCGACGGTTTCCACCGGAGCTCACCTTCCGACAGCTACTACTACCCGCTCAGGCTGACCGCGTCACCATTCCGTGCCGTCGCCCTCCTACTGGTCGTCGTTCTACTAGTAGTTCCGCATTCCCTCCGCGGAGCGCGCTCCGCCGCCTCTCGAAACCATTCCGGCGCTTCGGCGGGGATCACCGCGATGAACTGGCTGACGCATCGCCCGGCGTGGCGTGAATCGTCGTTCGGCCCATCGCATGGGTCGCACGGGTCGCACGGGTCGCGCGGGTCGAAAGAGCGTCCCATGAGCCTCCTTGAGAGGGCAACGTCGCCGGCGACTCCAACATTGCTCGCTGACAGTCAGCGTAAAAGCCCCAGCCACCACGTTTCCCTTGTAACAGTGCTCGTTACCGTGCTCTCCTCCGGTATTGATTTTCATCACATTTGTCCGTCTCTGATCTGTTTAGTAAGCTGCTATCGCCGCACACTCCACATGCTCACTCACTTGCTTCCTTGAGCTCATACTCTGCTTACATGTGCTCACGTGTGCTCGCTTTGCCATGTGTGTGTGTTTTCCTCTCCTCACCTCTACTCGCCTCTCCTCGCCTCTCTTCGCCTCTCCTCGCCTCTCTTCGCCTCTCCTCGCCTCTCTTCGCCTCTCCTCGCCTCTCTTCGCCTCTCCTCGCCTCTCTTCGCCTCTCCTCGCCTATTGCCTCGCCGTGCCCCTCCTCGCCTGGACATGAGTGCTGGTGGTGCCGTGTGTGCTGGTTGTGCCGTGTGTGCTGGTTGTGCCGTGTGTGCTGGTTGCTCCGTGTGTGCTGGTTGCTCCGTGTGTGCTGGTTGCTCCGTGTGTGCTGGTTGCTCCGTGTGTGCTGGTTGCTCCGTGTCTGCTGGTTGCTCCGTGTGTGCTGGTTGCTCCGTGTGTGCTGGTTGCTCCGTGTGTGCTGGTTGCTCCGTGTGTGCTGGTTGCTCCGTGTGTGCTGGTTGCTCCGTGTGTGCTGGTTGTGCCGTGTGTGCTGGTTGTGCCGTGTGTGCTGGTTGTGCCGTGTGTGCTGGTTGCTCCGTGTGTGCTGGTTGCTCCGTGTGTGCTGGTTGCTCCGTGTGTGCTGGTTGCTCCGTGTGTGCTGGTTGCTCCGTGTGTGCTGGTTGCTCCGTGTGTGCTGGTTGTGCCGTGTGTGCTGGTTGTGCCGTGTGTGCTGGTTGTGCCGTGTGTGCTGGTTGCTCCGTGTGTGCTGGTTGCTCCGTGTGTGCTGTTTTCTCCGTGTGTGCTGGTTGCTCCGTGTGTGCTGGTTGCTCCGTGTGTGCTGGTTGCTCCGTGTGTGCTGGTTGCTCCGTGTGTGCTGGTTGCTCCGTGTGTGCTGGTTGCTCCGTGTGTGCTGGTTGCTCCGTGTGTGCTGTGTTGCGTGCGCCTGGCCACGGGGAGGGCGCATGGCGGGGCGGGCGGGCAGTGGGTGCGCTGGAGGCGCTGAACGCCGCGTGGCAGGTGTGGCCGTCCAACTCCAACCGCTCACGGCGCTGCGACCAGTGGGAGTACATCCAGTGCAACGCGCAGGGCTTCATCACTGCTGTGTATGACGCTGCTCTGCTCTGCTCTTCTTTGCCCTCCGCTCTGCCCTGCTCTGCTCTGCTCTTCTCTTCTCTGCTCTGCTCTGCTCTGCTCTCCTCTGCTCTGCTTGGCACTGCTCTGCTCTGCTCTGCTCTTCTCTTCTCTGCTTTGCCCTGCTCTGCTCTGCTCTGCTCTTCCCTGCTCTGCTCTGCTCTGCCCTGCTCTGCTCTGCCCTGCTTTGCTCTGCCCTGCTCTTCTCTGCCCTGCTCTGCTCTGCTCTGCTCTGCTCTTCTCTTCTCTTCTCTGCTCTGCTCTGCTCTCCTCTGCTCTGCTTGGCACTGCTCTGCTCTGCTCTTCTCTTCTCTGCTTTGCCCTGCTCTGCTCGTCCCTGCTCTGCTCTGCTCTGCTCTGCTCTGCCCTGCTCTGCTCTGCCCTGCTCTGCCCTGCTCTGCTCTGCCCTGCTCTGCTCTGCCCTGCTCTGCTCTGCTCTGCTCTGCTCTGCCCTGCTCTGCTCTGCCCTGCTCTGCTCTGCCCTGCTCTGCTCTGCTCTGCTCTGCTCTGCTCTGCTCTGCCCTGCTCTGCTCTGCCCTGCTCTGCTCTGCCCTGCTCTGCTCTGCCCTGCTCTGCTTTGCCCTGCTCTGCTCTGCCCTGCTCTGCTCTTCCCTGCTCTGCTCTGCTCTGCCCTGCTCTGCTCTGCCTTGCTCTGCTCTGTTCTGCTCTGCTCTGCTCTTCTCTTCTCTGCTCTGCTCTGCTCTCCTCTGCTCTGCTTGGCACTGCTCTGCTCTGCTCTTCTCTTCTCTGCTTTGCCCTGCTCTGCTCTGCTCTGCTCTGCTCGTCCCTGCTCTGCTCTGCTCTGCTCTGCTCTGCCCTGCTCTGCTCTGCCCTGCTCTGCCCTGCTCTGCTCTGCCCTGCTCTGCTCTGCCCTGCTCTGCTCTGCTCTGCTCTGCTCTGCTCTGCCCTGCTCTGCTCTGCCCTGCTCTGCTCTGCCCTGCTTGGCACTGCTCTGCTCTGCTCTTCTCTTCTCTGCTTTGCCCTGCTCTGCTCTGCTCTGCTCTGCTCTGCTCGTCCCTGCTCTGCTCTGCTCTGCTCTTCTCTGCCCTGCTCTGCTCTGCCCTGCTCTGCCCTGCTCTGCTCTGCCCTGCTCTGCTCTGCCCTGCTCTGCTCTGCTCTGCTCTGCTCTGCCCTGCTCTGCTCTGCCCTGCTCTGCTCTGCCCTGCTCTGCTCTGCTCTGCTCTGCCCTGCTCTGCTCTGCCCTGCTCTGCTCTGCCCTGCTCTGCTCTGCCCTGCTCTGCTCTGCCCTGCTCTGCTCTGCCCTGCTCTGCTCTGCCCTGCTCTGCTCTTCTCTTCTCTGCTCTGCTCTGCTCTTCCCTGCTCTGCTCTGCTCTTCCCTGCTCTGCTCTGCTCTGCCCTGCTCTGCTCTGCCTTGCTCTGCTCTGCCCTGCTCTGCTCTGCCTTGCTCTGCTCTGCCCTGCTCTGGTGTACTGTGGGGACAGCAAGCGAGCGACGTGGGGGTAATAGACGTGTGGGTCGGTTGACGCACTTGGGGCAGTACAGACGCCGCTTGTGGGTTGTTGCTCCAGAAACTTCAGCAGAAGTGCAAGGCATCATGGTGGTTGTGGTCAGATGTACTATACACCGCTGTGCTGCCATGCTGCACTTCATGATCTATAATGCCATTGCCTCCACAAACTGCATGTATACGCTTGTGCATGCATGTGTGTGAGTGCATGCACGCTACCATTCCTCACAATCTCGGTGCTTCTCGAATGCAACACCTTGTTCCGTGCAGCGTTCTGCCCGACCTGGGGATCGACGCGACCATGCCTCTCAATGCCTTCTCCGCCATGCCTTACCTCAGACGCCTGTAAGCCCATTGCTTCCCTACCGCCGCCCCTCCCCACCTTCCTATTCCATTACTCCCGCTCCATCCTCTAACGCCATATTTTTCCTTGTTTCAACGTTTCCTTAATATCACCAAACCAGAACACCAATCTGCTTTATTGAAAATGCTTCTAAAAGCCAGATCGCCTCCCAAGCTCCCCTGTGCTCGCCTGTTCACCTCGTTGCCATCTCTCTTCCACTGCTGTTGCTCCCGTCTGTGTCTTTTATTTACACCATGCCCATGATCCCTCTGACTTTCCTCATGTCCCTGTCTGCACAAAATACTGTACGCGCGTGCATTGCGGGTTCTGCCTTGGAGTGTGATTAGTGATTTGTATGATCCAAACATCATACTTCCCATGCTTACTCAGCCACCTCATATCAACCCTACCCTTCACTCCTCACCCCCCACCTACCCCCTTTCACCCTCTCCTCTTCTTCCCTCTCGAACCCCGCTCTCCCGCCCCCCACCCCCGCTTTCCCTATCCCGCCCCTGCTACCCCCTCCTCCCCCCCCCTATCAGTGTGCTAGGAGGGAACTACAATCTCAACGGGACAATCACTGACCTCCCTCTGCCCCCCTCCCTGCGCATGCTGTGAGTGCTGCCCGCCCTGCCCTACCCCGCTCTTCCCCATCCCTGCGCATGCTGTGAGTGCTGCCCGCCCTGCCCTACCCCGCTCTTCCCCATCCCTGCGCATGCTATGAGTGCTGCCCGCCCTGCCCTACCCCGCTCTTCCCCATCCCTGCGCATGCTGTGAGTGCTGCCCGCCCTGCCCTACCACGCTCTTCCCCATCCCTGCGCGTGCTGTGAGTGCTGCCCGCCCTGCCACTGCACCCTCTGCCTTCCTTTCCTCCCATGTCAAGCAGTTTCTCACGCACTGATAAGGCCACCGGACAGGCGGAGGAGGCCAAGAAACAGGAAGAAAAGAGGGGTCAAGGCTAGAGGGGGGCATGTGCTGTGTGCCTGAGTGGGTTGTACGAGCAAGGGCTGGGAAGCTGTCACGGTGCACGGTGCACCACCATATTAAAGTGCAGAGCTATTTACATTGCGTTTGATTTGATGGGAGGCGTGTATTCCAGCTTGAGTAGCTGACTGGATGTATGTATGGCATGGTGGCGTGGTTGATTCACATGGTGACGTGACATGACCACATGATGACATGATCACATGACGCCATGGTCACATGGTGGCATGATGACATGGTGGCATGATGACATGGTGGCATGGTGGCATTTGCTACAAGGGGCCTGTCTGTCTCGCTTAGGGTTTGATTTTAAGCTTTCTTACGAGAACTTTGTGCATTGCACTGTGACTGCTGTTTGCATTGGACGATCATACACCAGTTAGTGCTACATTATGATGCTACAATAATTCGCCTTTGTGATGCTACATTATTGTTGTGTGAGGCTTATACTCTTCCGTCCGTTCTCTTGTGCACACCCATCTGTGATGCTAGATTACATTATTGGATTACCTGAGGCGTTCAAATTATATACGTGGAGTGCTTTTCGCAATCAGCTCAAAGCTTGTGTATCAAGCCAGTCCTTGTTCCTCCCACCCACACAACCTGACCCCCCTCTCCTCTTCGCTCCCACCCCACCCACCCATCCGTGTTCCGTTTTGCTTCCCCATGTAATCACGGGCAGGGACTTGTCTGATACTTCCGTGTCTGGTTCGCTGCCATCTTCCATCCTCTCCCTCTCAGCTCTCGCACACCTGTGAGCGCGATTCATCCTTCAGGGCACATGTGGATTTCCTTGAGATCACACACCCTTCGCCCACCTTCATTCACATCCCATCCCTCATGTGAGCGGGGTGGAATGGCTCACATTCACGCTGCACAGTGTGCCAGGCCCAAAGATGCTCACACACAGGGTCGATCAAATATAGGAATTGCCATCCTAGCACACATTATTTATATCAGGTCAACATGGGTGGGTCGTTCCATTTGTCTTCACATATGGCACAGCAGGATGCAGAGAATCTCTGCCACTCCTCTATTCCTATCGTGCTGCTCCACTTCTGTCCTCACTCACTCCCCCTCCCCCACCCCCCCAACCAACCCTGACCAGAGACATTGGTTATACATCTCTCTCTGGGAGCATGCCCTCCACTCTCAACCGCCTCTCACGTCTCACGTACCTGTCAGTCTTCCTTGTTTGTTTGTTTGTTTTTGTTTTGCATTGCACTCGCGCTAATTTCATGAATGCCTTGCGCCGCTGCTAATCTGTCTCTGCCGGTTTAATCAGTCGGTTGGCTGGCTGGTCTTATCCGTGTAAGAACCATCATTGGCATCATCCATCGCTACCTGTTGCCATGCCACCCCCACCATGGTTGACTTGACAGTATCTTCAACCACACCGCGTGTGCACACACACCCTTTCTTTGAGCCAGGACACTCTTACTTCTTCCTTTGAGAAAGGACCCTCTCAGAGGCACACCTCTTCTTCCCGCCAAGGCACTCTTTCTTCGCCTTCCCCTGCTTGCGCATCAACCAATCTGATTGCGCCTGCCTTCCTGTTCCTGTACTGCTTCACCAATGCTTTCTACCTACCATGTCTCGTCTTTCTCTCCCCTCCCCCCATGCCATGCACCCCCTCCCTCCCTGGTCCTTACCTTACCTTCTATCAGCGACATCGGTGCACCAGACGTCACTGGGCGTCTGGAGGACCTTTCATGGCTGTCAAGCCTCACCAATCTGCGCTCTCTGTATGCCCTGCCTCTCTGTATGCACAAGCACGTTATTTAATCAAGTGCTCTATGCCCTGCTGCTGGTTCTCCTTCTGTATGCCTTGAAATGGTGGAACACACATGAGCAAGCACCTACTTTGCGAGTGTTCATTCAATGTATATGCGCTCCTGGTAGTGCCCATGCCATAACCCTCAGATATATCATACAGCCAATGTCCTTCGAAGTTTAGGAGAGCACATTTTCAATCGGATATCTTCTCTTCCTGTTCGTATGCAACTATTCTGTTGCGTGACTGCATTGTCTCGTCCAGTCCCCAGCCCCAGCACCATCCATATCTGTTATGAAACTTGATCTCTGATAGATACATGCACTTGCACTAGCACCATCATGCCATCACACACTATGTTCTTGAATTGCTGCTGCTTGTGCACAGGAGCAAGCCATTTGTTGGAATCCCCTGTTATTCGCCCCCTCTGTGTCCCACTGATGCATTCGTTTTCTTCTCTGCTGCTGCCCTATCTGGTTCTGTTCTGCATTCATGGTTCTCCTTCTCTCAAATGCTCCTCTTTCGCCTTTTTTTTTTTTGAAGTTCCTTCTGTTTCTGAGGCGCCTCAATAAGAAACCACCTCTTGCATTTCTTCCCCTACACCTTCTTGGTGACCTCCTTGGCTGGTTAGACTTGCAGCTGTCGCATTCCCTATGTGTTTCTTTTCATATTTAACCAACAATGATGTGTTCTTCTGTTTTGTCCTTTCCACCAATGGCAACATACCAGTGTGTTGAATTACGCGTTTAGTATGAGCGGGGATCTGTCATCCCTAACCTTTCTCACTACTCTCAGAGCCATGCAACACCTGTAAGCATGACGTCAGAAGAATAGAGAAGATTGTATCAACAAATTCCGTTTTGTTTTGTTTTGTTTTGTCGTTTTTGTTTTGTTTTGTTTTGTTTTGTTTTGTTTTGTTTTGTTTTGTTTGTTTATTTATTTTTCCCTTTGTTTGTGATTTCCTTTGACTAGCAGCCAAATGTGAAGCCAGAATGCCGAATTTGATCGATGAACTTTACGGCACAATGAGAAGGGAAAAAATGTTATTTGTAAGGAAAATGGTACAAGTCCAATAGATCACCAGGTCATGGTGAGCACTGAGCATAACCTGCGAGGTGAAGATACAGAGGTTGCGAGTTGAGATTCTAGCCTCTTAGTCTGGACGTGAGGACCTATCCGTGGGGACATACCTGGAATCTATACTTGATGTCAAACAACAACGAGCCTGGAAAGTAGGAGAACTTGGCGCTCAGCAAGTTGCATGATCAGGTAGCCAGGTGTGGAGACTCTCACGCATTGCTGCATGCAGTCTATTGACTTGAGCGTGAAAGTGTTTTCTCAAGGATGTTTTTTCGTCTGGATAACTTGTACATAGCATTGCTGCAATCTTGTGTGTACCTCCCTCCCGTATCCTTGCAGCACCATTGCAAACAACATCGATTGGACTGGGGAGCTACCAGTGTCGCTCGGAACCCTCACCTCGCTCACCCATCTGTGAGTTATTTCAATTAGCACATCCTTGCGCTTTCTCTTGAGTGTACTCATGCATGTGCTCCTTTCCCCAAATGTGGCAGGGACTTGCAACGCCTTACAAGCGCTCAGTTCCCCCGATGGGTCATGGACTTGACAGCCTTGCGATACCTGTAAGCCTGCTGCACTGCGCTTGCTCCCACGCACGATCCTTTCTGTACCATGATTGTATTGCACTTCCATGCTCTTCTCGTTTTCCCTGCTTGTGTGATGTGAACTGTGCAAGGTTATGAGCGAGCAGGCCAGCACAAGTGCACCCCGCTCTTGTGTTGTCCACTTTACGTTCTTGGCTTTGCTCTCCTCCCCATCCTCTCCTTTTGTGTTGACCCGAGACCCGACTGTCGCTTACCTTGTTGGGTCTCATCGGGTCAGGTCGACCCGATTTGACCTCGAATCATTGTTTAGCATCTGATCGGGGCTAGGCAGAGGGTCACTACTCTACGGGTTGATTGATATTCAAAACCAAGGGGGTTGAATTGAATGTTGGAAGGAACCCCAATTCGCATAAATCAACCCTTTCTTAAGCGGCTCGTTGTCGCACTCGAAGCACCACGGTTCGCACGGCACAGCGCACCCCTCCAGCACAGCGCACCCCTCCAGCACAGCGCACCCCTCCAGCACAGCACGCCAGCACAGCACAGCACGCCATCACAGCATACCACGCCAGCACAGCACACCACGCCAGCAGAGCACACCACGCCAGCACAGCGCGCCAGATGGCTACACTGCCTTATCATGTTGATTTGCTTCATGGCTGGTGAGTAGAGTTCACTTTTTTGAAAAAGACAACAAAGAATCAACAATAAAAAAACAGCAACCGAATCAAACCTACCGTGCAGTCAGGTCGGGTCATCTGACCCACCTTGGGTCGACCCAACCCAACCTGGGCTCGCGTTGGAAGCACCAGGGTTCTAACCTGGCTCGGGTTGGGCCAAACCCGATCGGGTCGGGTCGGGGTTGACCTGACGCTCAAGCTTACTCCCCCTCTTCCTCCGCCCTCTCTGCTCCTTTTCCCCGTTCAATCACCCTTCTGCCAGCGACGTGTATCATGACAGTCAATATCGCACCGGAGTGGTGCCGCAAGACCTATACCGTCTCAGTCAACTGCAGCACTTGTAAGTGCCCGCCTCTTGACCGTTTTTTTTTTTTTTTTTTTTTTTTGTATGTGTGTTTTTTTTTTTTTTTTTTTTTTTTTTTTTTTTTTTTTTAGCTGCGCTCTCAATTGTGCCGAAAGAAGCTTGATTTGTAACATTTTTGTTGATGCTTAGGTTGCTTGCGTCTGTGCCAAGTGCTTTTGGGGAAATTGATCTCCAATAACTGATTAGATGAGGGCTCTCATGGCACTTTGTGTGGTTTAGAATGGATGAGGAGGAGATTAACGCGACTCTCTAATAGTATCAGCTGAGCTTGAATTGGTAGGTCTAAGACTTTGGGTGGTTGCATTTGAAGTAAGATAAAATCCAACTTCATTCTCCCACCCAACCATGAACAGTGATGCATCAGGCAACGGATTGGTTGGTTCACTTCCAGAGTACTGGACCGCTCTGAACCACCTCACCTTCTTGTGAGACCACCTTCTCACCCCTTGTGCTGCCGTGTTGAATTGACATTCTCATGCATGTTCCCCACTTGCCGTCTTGAACTGACATTCTTGCATATTCTCATGCAACCAACATATTAACGACCACAACAACCATTGAGTCTGCATAAGTTGTTCAGTACTTATCTAAACCTTTTTGGTTTGATATAACGTCTTGCATCAGCTTTCAGTAATGCATACCTCTTTCACACTCTGCCAATGGTTACCAAGTATCAATCTTCTCTTCGTATATTGCCACTCTTTCCAGGGCGAGTTTTATTGAGCACGTAAACTAGAACTCCTTTGTTTTGCAAGCAGTGACCCCTTGTCAACTCCCTCAATAGAATATTGAACCACAATTTCGTTCCAACTCTTTCAGTCCCGCAGCAGCTCTTGATCCCACCCTCTCTATGTAACTCAACCCCTCGAACCTCTGCATTCTAGAAATGAGAGGGCGATCTGAATCTCTCCCTTACACGTTGTACTGCAACAGGTATCCTGATCGCACTAACGGATTCACCCTTCCCCCTAGAACAACGACTTCTTAAATGCTCCTCAGTTCCATAAAGCATAACGCTGCTGCCATGCCATGTTTTCCACCTAGGGGTGGGGGTGGTGGGGGTTCCGCACAAGGGGAGCATGGCTGGATCCCTTAAAGAATTTGCGTTACTGGAGGGTTCTTTCGGGCGAAACGAGTAATACTTGCCTCGTTGCGCGTACTTTCTTACTCTGGGCGAGAAATAAAATTATCGCATTCAAGGACGGATGGGGAATAAGAAATTTGCCAGAAGTAATACTCGCCTCGCCTTGTTGTTCAACTGAGGCAGCCCCGCTGTTTGTTCATGCTTAATCCTCTCCATTGTAGTTGTCGCCAGTGGCGTTGACATTCTTTCCAGTTGTAGTTGTGTCGCACTGTCGCTTGTGAGGCAATATAGCCATTCTTTCGATGGTAACAATCTCATGGGAAAATACTTCTTGCTCCCTTGCATTTGTGTTTCTTGCCACACTTGAGTTGAGAATGCTTATAAGCGACTATTGTCGCTTCTCTATTTGCTGCTCCACAGGTCGCTTGCAAACAACAAGATTGAAGGCTCCATTTCGTCCACATTATCTGGCTTAACCTCCTTGAGCACGCTGTAAGTCGTGCCCGCATTGCAACTACCCTCTTGACTTTTAAAACCCTCTAAGTCTCTTCATGCTGCTACCTTCCCATCATTGGTGTGTTCTTAAACTGTTAAAAAGGGCTCATTCTGATAAGTCCCGTACACCAAGAGAAACCCTGAAATAGCATATGCTCTGTTCCCTTACGTCATCCAAGCAAGCAAGTTCTCTCGATTCACAGCATTGACAAGAATTGTGCTCTCTGTTTGTATCTTCATGTCAAAGAAAGTATTGCTTGTGCACCATGTGACTAGCGTCATGCACGTGTTGTGATTCTATGGACTTGTTCGCACAGAGAAAGCCACCATTACGCTCGCCTCGCCTAGTTGACCCGCATGACAGACAAAGTATGCATGTGTGTGCCTGCGAGAGCCTCTTATGTGTCCCTATTGCGACACACCCATGGTGCGGCTCCATTTAGGAAATTGAGCTAGAATGGATTGATTAGAAAGTAGAGCACACGAATCTCGAGCACACAGAATAGGTTGGAAAGGATAGGAAGAGATTCAGGGCCAATGTCTAATCAAAGTGGCTGAAATTCCCAGTGAATAAGTCGGAGATTTTGATGTTTCAGACTTTAGTGAGTTTGCGATTTTGTATAACACCCAATCCACACAAACTAGATGTACACCTAACTAGGTTACGGAATCAGTGGAATTGGTGGAGCGGGGAACCCAGCATACTCCAACAAGTCAGGCCGAAAAAACAGCTCCTAAGGCGCAGCTCTATATGAACCTGATGGGAAGAAAGATTGGTGCGAGATGGTATATGGTACACTGGGGTGTGGCATAGAGAATTGGTGTCATTGGTGTCATTGGTGTCATTGGTGTCATTGGTGTCATTGGTGTCATTGGTGTCATTGGTGTCATTGGTGTCATTGGTGCCATTGGTGTCATTGGTGCCATTGGTGTCATTGGTGCCATTGGTGTCATTGGTGTCATTGGTGTCATTGGTGTCCTTGGTGTCATTGGTGTCATTGGTGTCATTGGTGCCATTGGTGCCATTGGTGTCATTGGTGTCATTGGTGTCATTGGTGTCATTGGTGTCATTGGTGTCATTGGTGTCATTGGTGTCATTGGTGCCATTGGTGTCATTGGTGTCATTGGTGTCATTGGTGTCATTGGTGTCATTGGTGTCATTGGTGTCATTGGTGTCATTGGTGTCATTGGTGTCATTGGTGTCACATGACAGAAGTCGAGTGGTGCTGCTAAGGAGCGCGGAGATTACTAACGAGAGGTTGTGAATTGAGACCGGTGTGGTGTCTGCGGTTTAGCCGCTCGGACATGATGTTAGAACTTGAGCTCTAATGGATTCCTTCGGTGATAGAGCATAATCAGCGACAGGTTGAAGGGGGAAGAAATGGGAGGAAGAACGGAGGAGAGTGGGAAGGGAAGGGACACAACACAGCAGGTGCACAGGGCGCATAGGGTAGGGTGTGCATGTGGAGGCTATGAGAGAGCACGCAAAAGGGAGAGGAGAGCTGACAAGAGTGCGCCGAGGGTAGGGGAGGGGCGGGCACGCGACGGGCTGGGGACTGGGGAGGGCATGCTACGAATGGTGGAGGCCGCGCGGAGCTAGGCGTGTCATGGGAGGGCAGCAGCGGCAATCATGATGTAAACCGTTTGCAAAGTAGTGGCGAGTCGGGCGGCATGATGCGAGGTTGAAGAAACGGCTCCAGGCATAGGATAAAAAGAGGCGCAAAGGAACAATTGGAATGATTGGGTGGAGCCAAAAGATCGAAGCGGTAAAAGTATTTGAGAGGGTGCATTCGAAGGCTGAACAAGTGATGAAAGAAACAACTACGCGAAGAAATGAAATCGCAGCCATTACGGTGTTGGGAGTCGAAGGGAGAAGTAGGCTCTAAACCTTAGAACCTGGCTGGCTCTGGTACCATGTTAAAAATAATAAGGGGACCTTGAATGTTTCGAAAGAAGAGAATGATAGTATTAGAAATGGCAAGAGCCCATCATATACAGCTGTGGTGCAGCAATTAGGTGAGATTACGTACACTTGAATCCGTGGTGAAAGCAATTTATTCTGAGGCTTCACACATGGCTCGGAAATGATAGGACGGAATCGTTGGCAGCTCCCAAACAAAGGACTAAAATGTCCAATTGGTAGGTTAAGATTGTGTAACACCCAAACCACAAAAAGCAATTTTACATAAAACTACAAAAAAGGAACAACGTCAATTGTGAGATTGTGGTATATCTTCAACACTCTGTTTCCCAATGACTATCTTGATGCTACTAACAACACTCAAGCTATTCATGTCACCCATTCCTTCCCTTTTGTTGTTTCAGAGACCTGAGTGCCAACAGCATGGACGGCACCATTCCACGAGTCTTTGCTACCACTCTCAGTAGCCTGTGCTTTCCTGTCTCTTACCCACCAGTACACGATTGCTTGATTTCCTAGTTATGGAATTGGCTTAGCCCTGCAAGCTCAATGCATGCACCGTCTGATGGACAAAATGGTAGGCCTTAGGCCTTGCGTGAAGCCTCTCCACTCTTTACATGCTGTCTACGGCTCAGGTTTAGAAAGCTCCGTCCAGTCCTGGTTTCAGCATCTATACAGAATGAGCTGGTTTAGTTACTGAGGCACCTCACTAACCCTCAGCTGTGTTCCATTCCAAGTTCCCAACCTTTGAAGTCGTGTATCACCTCTTACACAAACACGACTTCGACTTTTTTCACTCCTTTGCTTCCAGCAACCTCGAGAGTAATGCCTTCTCTGGCCCCGTGCCAGCCTTCCTCGGCTCCCTCACTGGCCTCACATACATGTGAGTGTCTGTCGCTGTTTAATGGAGCACGGGTTCTTCCTTCTTTCCTGGCTCCTTCCTTAGATGCAGATTATAGCAATGCAAAGTCCGGTGTTTTAGTCTGGCCATATGAAATTACATGTTTTTTCTGGTATTGTGTGGATCTATTGACCCCTTGAAATGTAATTTGCTCTTAAGAGATTTAAGAGTGCTAATCTAGTAAGACCAAGCAAGCATAGCGAGCATGGCTGGTCACGCTCTTAAGGTTGTGCTTGATGCAACTTGCCTTGCAATGAACTTTGTCAATTTGCCTCAAACTATTGCTAATGCTGCTATTTCTCTTCACATTCCTGCTCCACCAGAATTCAACTGCACAAAGACTACACAAATGCTGGTTTACCCTTTACCTGATTGCAACAAGGCTGCCTGCAGTAGTAGCATGTAGTAGCCTTGTTGTGATGCTCGTGGTTTGACAGGTTGCATACCCCCATGTTCCATCCATTCAGTTCAAGGTCATCCTCTCCTTGTGCCTCTTGCCAGGCGCCTGCGTGAAAACAACTTCACGGGGGCGATTCCTGAGTCTTTTACAAACCTCACCAACCTGCCTAAACTGTCTGTATTGGCATGACCTCGAGGAGCACTCCAGTAGGATCTGCGAATTGAATGCGTTTGATGGTGTTAATGGAGGAAAAGCCTAGAAATGTGGGGAGACTAAGGTTAGCTGTCAAAATAGTGTTCCTCTTGCACCCTGCATACGTCCTATATCACTTGGGTAGATATACATGGGCACCGAGGCGAGTTTTTCGCCTCGGCTCGTACGAGGCACTCGTTCGAGGGCGAGTGACGAGTGTGCTTTTCCCTGAAAATAACTCGTCCGAGCCGAGGCGAGTTTAACTCGGCGAGTTTTTAAAACTCGCCGAGCACTCGTTGCGCTGACGAGCTTTTTGAAAAGCTCGTGCATGTATATGGCAACGAGCCGAGCTTCCCTCGGCTCGACCGAGCTTTCCTTGAAGCTCGGACGAGCTTTTGAAAAGCTCGTGCTATTTAGCCGAGTCACGAGCTTGCATTTGCCCGGAAAAAGCTCGTACGAGCAAAACTCGGCTCGGAACAAAGCTCGTACGAGTGTGCCTGGGGACGAGCCGAGTAAAACTCGGCTCGGCTCGTTGCCCATGTATAGGTAGAGTTAGGCACCCAAACTTAGTTCGGGTGTACAACTAGAAATTAACTCAGTTGGGGATGGGAATTAACCTTGGCCCAATTTTCATGAGTTGGGCAATTACTGGTTCAAAAATAACCCTGGCTCATTCTTGACCAAGCATATTGGTTGGAACCCCCAATAATTTCTCAACCCAACTCTTTGGTGCAAATTATGTTGGCTAAGGTTCAAATCACCCCCCCCCGCCCCCCCCCCCCCCCCCCCCCCCCCCCCTTGCCTCACTACTAAGTCTATGTATACTCTCATCTGTCCTAATGCAATCAGTGTTTCCTCTGAGTAGCTGGTTAGCGAGGTTGATATTCTCAAGAAAAATGTCACCATTGAATAAATTGAGGGCTTGAATGTAAGTAGTTGGGTTGAAGACTCCCACCTCTCTCCTTTGCCCCCCTCCTCAAACACATTACCATCTTTCAACGTTCTGCCTCAACTATTGAGGTTGTGCTTCCATGTTCCAGGTCGTTTTCTGGCAACCAGTTGACGTCTGGGCTTGACGTGGTCGAGAGGATGACATGGCTTGAGGCACTGTAGGTTCATTTTGTACAACTATTCTTGATCTAATATTCACCTTAACAAATGAAGGCTTTGTATTTTGTAGCAAACTGGAAACAAGTCGAACCCCATGTTAAGGTGAATATTAGATTAAGAATTGAAGGTGAAAAAATACAACTTTGTTTTTCCAGTTTTCTTATATTCCTCTCAACCCAACCCAATTTATAGCATACCAGAGAAACAAGTAAAGTATTTTTTTTTTTCTTTTAACGGGATAAGTTCCTTTTTTTTTGTTAACTTCCCCAAGTCGAGTTTGGTAAAACTCGTGAGCTAAAAAAAAAAAAAATCTCGTTTGGCACACGGCATTTGTGTGTGTGTGTGTGTTTTTTTTTTTGTTTTTTTTTGTTTTGTTTTTTTTGTTGTTTTTTTTTTTTTCGATTTTATTGTTGCTGCTGTTTTTTACTCGTGAGCAATTTTTACTAGACGAGTAGAAAAACACTCGAGCAACATACATTCACCGCCTGATCCTCGCGGATCTTGCCGTGAATTGCCTGATCTGTGCAGAATAGGCAGTTTGCGGCTTGCCAGCTCCTCACATAACTGACATTTCGATGCATGGATGATGGATCTGGCACTGGAATGGTGAATCTGTTGGCGAGCACGGTGCCACGAGTTGAGTGTTACTAGAATTGGGCCGGGTAAAGATCTACTCGTCCCGAGTAGAAAAGAACCTGACCTTTCGGCACAGTAACGAGCGGTCGGATAAACAAAACTTGGCTCGAGTTTTGCTCGACTCGACTCGACACTGAAACGAGTCAACAACGAACATGTGGAGAAAGCGACTAAGCGACTCGACTTGACTAAGCGATGCGTGATTTGCTCAAGTGTAAGCTGATGGCAAAGATCAAACATGCCATATCAACTATCATTCTAGCTCCCTTTGTCTGATGAACTACATAAAATTGTTCACTGTTATAACGTTATGCGGAAGCGATTAAACTGGAACTACAAACAAAGCTTAGCAACACTTAACATCACTTGCAACCCTTCGAGTGTGACAGCTTGTCACCTCCTAGCCAAGGGCGTAATAAAAACACAAGTGAGTAGTTATGCCTTGCTTATGCTTATAGAACAAGTAAACTGGTCGAGCAGAGTTTCGGCAGCACCGTGATCGTTTCTACTCTCGTCAATACGAAGTAGTAGAATTCAAGCTTGGAAAAAACGCGAATGCATTGGATTGATCTCGACAGGTACAAGCATACACATTTATATAAATTCTACGCACAGGCAGGAGCAAGCATAAAACAGTTGTTTAACTAGGTCGCAGGATTTTGCCAAGCTGTATTTGAAAACGGTTGTTCAACTCCTTGAACATTTGGCTATATCCCCCTCTTGTTAGAAACTGTCTTCAAATTGCACTTGTAACAGTTGTCCCTGCTGACTCAAATGTGTACACTCATGAGACTCGCATGTGACTCTAATGTAGCTCTCATGAGTTCATGCGAGCTCACAGTTGTAAAACGGCTGTTACCGTTTGAGAAGCGGAATAACCGTTTTGTACCTGTGGCGAAATGATCACGCAAAGCGGCGTGACATTCGCGAGAAGTTTCCCGTCCCGTGAGTCAACTCGGAAAACAGGTTTTCAACTGTAAATTCCGAGCACCCCCTCGTGCCACACGCACGACCGAGATATTTTATCGGTCGTGCTGTACAGCGCGCCATGATCGCAATCATGCGCGTGTACAGTGCGGGACAGGGCCGAAACGTGCCCTGTCTTGTTGCGATCGTGCTGTACAGCACTCTCGCAACAGTACGCGGCACACGCCCGAGCCCTGAGGGGCCACACGTGCGTGCCAGGACCCACGCGTGGGTCTTGACTCTCGCGCCTTTGACCTGCGCGAAAAAAGTCAAGGCACCCCCCTTGACCAGTCAAACATTCGAGCCCCCCAGCACACCACTCACTCACATAAGCCTCGTATGAAATATTCGAGGCATATGGAACTTCAATGAGCCTCGCATAAATCATTCGAAGCTCGCCAATATGAGCCTCGCATGAAATATTTCTCATGTGACTTTCATGGAAACTCATTTGAGTTTCATGAGGGCCTCATTTGAGACTTCGTGGGATTCTCATTTGAGCGTATCATGTGAGCCTCATTTGAGCGCATCAAGTGAGCCTCATTTGAGCGCTTCATGAGAACAGTGAAAACGAAACTGAAAATGCAAAAACACAAAATGCAATTACGAGTGAAAACGAAACACACAAAATGCAAGAACAAATGCGCACAGAACATTACAAGATGAAAATGAAAATGCGCACACACACAAAATGCAAAATGCGACGCAGGCGGCTGGTTGACGTGCAAAAATAAATATTTGCACCCAACAAAAATCACACTCCCTGACATGCCAAATATTTTTTTTTTCTTCTTCCACCGTACATCGCAGGCAGATTTCTTACAACATGTTTTCGGGTAGTTTCCCCAGTCTTTCGTCCTTCCCTCTTCTCAGTTTCCTGTAAGTGGTTATTTGGGCTATTACCTATCATAATGAAGCACCGTTTTTCTAATCTAGACTCCTCTATTCTCCTTTAGGGCGTCTCCAAAAGTATGTTCGAATGTGGCTCAGGGAGATGCTTCAAGTTCTACAGCTTTCAAACAGCACTCTAGAACGGTTGGGTAGGGCATTGAGCGAAGGTGAAAGCTTTGGACACGCCCTTAGGCTGACAATGTCGTGACAGCTTGTTGCCTTCTCAGTTCACACCTTAGTTTACTTGCGAGCCATACGGTAGACACGAGCACAAGTAGAGTCGAGTTGAGTTGATTCAACTCACTATTTGTAGAGCCACCATTATTGGTCAACTATACTTGATTTCTTGGTTGAATTTCTTGGTCAAGACTGGATTTTGATAAACTCTTCGCAAATATTATGAAAATAGTAATCGCCTTTGAAATATTTTGTGTTGATTCCTGTGACCGCACAGGGAATTTCGCGGCAACTTTTTTCAAGGGTCGTTTCCTGCAGCTCTGCTGAAGCTCACCAATCTTATGTCTCTGTGCGTTTGGCTACCCGGAAATAGCCTTGCAGCCACACACTGCAATAATCCGCGGTCCACAACCTGCATCATGTCCTTCGTATTTGTTCGTTCGAATCGAATTTGTGGGGCAATGGGTTAACATGAACATGGCCCGACCCTGGCCGACCTTGGCCTGGCCAACCAACAAGGCTGGCCCGGGCCGGGGCAGGCCGGCCTGGCCAGGCCCGTGCTCATGGCTGGTTTTTAGGGTTTTGTACACCAGGTTTAGGGCTTAACATTAGTGAGTTTGTAGGGGGGGGGTAGACAGAGAGGTTGATTTGTAGTAGGTGTGGCAGGTTGGTCACTTGGTGGTGTGCATGTTGATATCTAGTAGATGAAGCAGATTGGACAATTGGTGGAGCAGGTTGGTTTATTATGTGGGGCAGGTTGGGTAGTTGAGTTGAGGGGCCAAGAGGTGTGTTGTACGTCGGGCAAATTAAGCAGCTGGTGGGCCAGGTTGGTTGGTTTGTATTGCAGTAACAGATTGTGCGGTCGGTGGGGCATGTAGATTGGTTTGTTGCAGTAGGTGCAAAACAACGGCCGTGCTTCTGTTTTGAGACTGGAAGATGTGGTGTCGTACCATGTAATGTTAATGTTTGAGACTTTGTTGATTAAATTTGTCTGTAGGATTGGGTAGATCGATGAGATACACCACTGTTAGCCGGTTGGGAAACCCAGGTAGGGTGAGTGAACCCACAACACAACGGGGAAGAAGGTGAAAGTATGTGAACAGTGGTCTAAGGGCCAGCAGAAGGGGGCTGCGGCTTGATTTTTTCACGTGGAACTGAGCGTTTACTGAGGGATGTCTTTGGCAAGGCAAATGATCCTTGCATCGTCCCAAGGTTGCTGTTTGCTCGTGTGTCCACTCTGCATTCAGCCATATAGTCTTCTTCAACACGCCATAGTTGGAAAAAAAAAAAAAAAAAAAAAAAAAAAAACAAAAAAAAAAAACAAACAAACATTTTCTTCTTTCCCCCCCATTGCGTAGAGACGTTGGGCACAACCAGCTGCATGGGTCCATTCCTGACGACATATCTAAATTACAGAAGATGGCGTATCTGTATGTATCATCTCGTGGCACTTGCTGCAACTTCATGAAGGTTGTTCTCTGAAAGGGCTGGTTAATTGCAAGTTACAACAATGATCATCAGACCTGATTACCCCTGCAGCTAAGTGATGGTGTGATGTCTCTTTCTTAAATCCTCTCCTGCCCGCGCAACCCGTGAACCCCCCCCTCTCCCCACCCTTCCCTTCCTCCTCTCCCTTCTGCCCCCTTTCTTCTTTGTGTTTCAAAGACGTGTTTTGACGACCACAAGGCATATCCTAAACTTCTTTCCACATTCCTCTTCACCAGAAGTCTTGACAATAACAACTTTCATGGGGAGATCCCTCTTAGCCTCTTTACCATCACAGGAATTTCTGACTTGTAAGTGGAGGGGAAATACACACCTTTCTTCTCCTCACTCACCACCCTCTTCCTCCTCGCCTCTATCCATTAAACTGTTAAACCGCAGCATCTCAATTTGACTCCATGCTTGCCGCTGCCCCTTGGTCCGGCTCCATACATACCCAACTCTTTCCCTTCTATTGCCATATCCTTACATTCCTTTATCCACTTGCTCAAGTCCTGTATGGCGCCAGCAAAGCCACATCTCCACACCACATGCCATGCCACATGGCACATGATTAGGCGGCGCATACAAATATGGTCGGCCGTTGTGCCAAGCCAAAGTGTCTCGGGCATGCACTGGCCCAGCCAGACAGACCCCACCACATGTTCTGTTTGCGTTGAGAAGAAAATGCATGCACGGACAGCAGCATGTTGCACTTCACACTTGCACGCACGCACGGACAAGCACTGCACGCTTGCAAGCTGCCCACTGCTCTTTCCTCCGCCAGCTTTCCCAATCTGTTTTAGTTCCCCACCACTCTGTCTCCTTTTTCCACCACTCTGACTTTCTGTCCCACCAATGTCTCTTCGTGTGGAACACCTTTCAGATATTTGAATGACAATCGGCTAGGAGGAAGCCTGCCCAGCCCATTAGTAACAGGATCCCTTGTCCAATTGTATGGTTCCACAAGTTGCTATGGGATAAGAACGATTGGGTGGCTGCTACGGTTGAGCCTACAAGTGTTTGGGATGCGCAGCAATACTTATCCCAGCCTTGTCTTTCTGCTGAATTAGTAACAGACCGTTTTGACATCGTGTGGTGACAGGCACCTTCAAGGAAATGGATTGTCGGGCCCTCTTCCTGATTTCGCACGATGGAACACGTCTCTCGTATACTTGTAAGTCAGGCTCGTCCGGGCAGCAGCTTGCTGACAAGGGATGAAAATTTGAGGAATATGCACGTTTCCGTAGGATTGTTACCAGCAATTCTTGTACGTACTCCTGTGCGCGATGCGATCCCGCCCGCTGGAGTCTGGCTGTTCATTGTACTCCCATCCCATCCCACACCAGGCTTTTACAAGACAACAACTTTACAGGGTCCATACCGCAGTCAATCAGTACGCTCACTTCACTCGCCATGATGTGAGTCAGTGACCGCACCTTCTGTCTGCCTCTGTATCAACGTCTACTCCTTCTGTCTGTACCATCTACAACACCGTCGGTATCATCAGCACCATCTCTGTAACCTCTTCCATTATGTGGAACGTGAGGCCACGAAGCAGCAGTAGACTCCTGCCTCGCGTAAATCGGATCACCCTCCCTCTTGTCTTGTGCGTGACCTCTCCAGTTCCTTGGCCAACAACCAGCTATCAGGGACCGTACCTACATCTCTTACGGCCCTCACCAATCTCGCGGCCATGTAATCCACTATCCTAGTAGTTTCACAATATTTCTCTACAACCCTGTCCGACCAGCACTCGCTACTCTGTAATTCCCTCACAGATAATGCCTTGTTCCATTGTCCATTCTTGCTCGTCATCTCATCTCGATACGTAGGATTGTCCTTCAATGTCCATGCTCAAACGAACTTGTGTCATGCCATGCATCTCCCACTTGTGCTGTTGCTTCCATGCACCAATGGTCTTGTTCCATCCATCCATCATTCTACTCTAAACCCTATCAGAGACCTGGCGGCCAACAGCATCTCAGGACCCTTACCCACTGGCCTCGGGGCCCTCTTCAAGCTCATTACCCTGTATCTAACTGCTATCATACAGAATATAACATTGTGTTGTCACACCATGCCATAGGGATGAGCAAGGGGCGAACACGAACATGTTCGTGTTCGCCCCTACACGAACACATCCGTTTGCCGAACCGAACACTGTTTGGTTCGGCGAACACTTTACGCAAAAACAGGTGTTCGCCGTTCGCCTGTGAAGGCGTGTTCGAGCGAACCTCGAACACGTTCGTGTTCGTCGCGGGGCAAATTGCAGCAGCGGCCCGAACACGAACGTGTTCGGGCGAACCTCAAACACTGTTTGGCGAACACTTTAAGCAAAAAAAACAAACGTTCGAGGCGAACCGAACAGGTGTTCGCCCTTGTGCTCATGTCTACCATGCCATGTCATGTCATGCGTCATCCTTTCATGTTGCCCGCTTTTGCGTTGATTACACGTTTACGTATTCAACTCATTTGCATGGCACATCTGCTTCGTGTAGGCATGGTTGAAGCCAACTGATTAAGTGCGAACTGCCTCGAACAAGGCGGGTGGTCAAATCAAACCTGAGTTGTTCCGACTCGCAACAGATGGCCAAAACGAATGCGGTTTTGGAGGATGCTCATATTAGATTCGACTCCTGTTTGTTAACCATTCTGTCATGCATCGATAAGTAGGCTTGGGTAGGTCTAACCACTCACGCTGATTTTGGGTGTACAAGTAGAGCTCACCCTGGTTATAAGGGTCCAATTCCGGCCCCAGTCATGAAAAACTCATTTTTTCAGTTACATGATTGGGGAAACAATAATCATGCCACCATATGACCAATATCGTTGCCCTCCTTAACCGATATATTGTGAACGGCCGATAATATCTGCTATGCAGCCACTCATCAACCCAAGTTCCACTCATCAACCCAAGTTTCACTTATAGTTGATGCTATGTACCAGAGAAAATACAGATGAATGGATGGTGTGGCTCTCACAACCAAAATCGTTAAGCAATACAAAGCTTCCATTGGGTAATCTATGCAGTCTACTTCTGAACTTGGTGGCAATCAGAGCGACTCTCTTCTCTACTTCACCCCTTTGAGGATTTTCTAAGCTGATCGCCTCTGATGCTTCTGCATGCTGGCAGGTCCTTATCTGACAATCAGCTCACGGGGACTCTCCCTCCTTCCATGTGCAACCTCACCAAGCTAGAACGGCTGTACTATTTTCCTCCTTTCCTTGTGTTTTGGGTGTGTCTTTGTTAGATTATATGGTAGAATGCTATGCTTTTGGGACTGTACACTAATTGTGGTGAACAGTCAAGTTGGGTATGTACCCCAATTTGGGTGTACATTTGTGTTGGGGTGCCAATCCACCCTTTTGTGGTGGAGCCCCAACACAAGCAATGAGGTCATTGGTGGTCACTCCACATTGGTCCCAACCTTGTAATTGGTCTACCCAAACACATTGTAGGACCAATTGTGGTTAACCATTCGAACCACCAAATTGCTCCTCACCACCTCCTTCCCTTCCACCTCTCTCTTGCATCCTATGTAGACCCTCCTTTCCTGAATATAATCGCCTTCTTGATTTCTAACAGTCTTCAGATGCTTGCTTGCAGGCACATTCAGTAAGCCCAGTCTTATTTCTTTCGTGCATGGCATGCGATTCTACTCTCGCCTTTGCAGGTTTCTTCGCAACAACCATTTCTATGGAAAGTTTCCATCCTGCTTCTTTGAATACTGCTTGCACAAGATGTGAGTGAAGGTCACAACCGAACCACTTCAGGTCGAGCGAAAGAATTCAAACCAAAAACGTGAAAGACTTTGCAAACTTAAGCTTGGTCAATGCTAACTATGAGTCAAGTCGAGTTCAACTGCCATTGGGTTTGATCCCATGTCTGAAGCACACGGTATGGAAGTTGGCATGGATACCCACCCACACCAAGGCTAAGGCTACGAACTAACTGAACTGAACACTAGTCGAAGTGTCACTTGGGCTCTTGCCTTGCCGGTGCTGCAGATGTTGCTGCTGATTTTCACGGCGTGTTGCCTTGCAGGCGTTGCATGAGTGGAACACCACAGACGAATTCTGGTAAAGCTGAAAGAAAAAGGAGGAATTCCTTAACGAGACCGCAACCATCGATGGTCTGTTGAATTGAATATGCAGTTCATATCACGGTTACGAGCGCGGTGTCAATCAGTCATGAGCAAGGGCCGAACTAGGGCCATCCCTTGACTAGCAGGGCAAGGCTCGTGACGTGGTGAGGGCTGAGTCAGTCAGCTAGGGCCAAGTCCTTCGCTCTGGCCAGCCAAGAGCAAGCACCAGTCCTTTGCTCGTGTACAACAGTGCCATGAGCAAGCAGTCTTCTTGGAATCTAGTTGCTTGTCATGAGCTCCACAGGTAGGCAAGCCAGCAACCGCGGCTTGTTTCTCGGCTCAACTCAGCATGAGACGATTTTTGAGGCGCCTCAAAAATAGCAACCGCGGCTTGTTTCTCGGCTCAACTCAGCATGAGCCAGCCAGAGTTGTTTCTCAGCTCACGAATCAGTGAGCCCGACTTTGTTGTAGTGACCAGTTACGGCTCGGGTCTATGCCTCTGTCTAGTGTCTGTCTAATCACAGCAGGGGATAGCAAGAACAAGCAGTTGTGATTTTTCCCTTCACGCTTCCCTTTGCCACCCACTTTGCTTGCGCCTTCCACTCCATCCAGTGACATCAGCAACAACAGCTTCTACGGCCCCATCAACAGCAACTTCCGCAGCATGATTCCTAACAACGAGGCTCTGCTCAACATCGCAGGCAACTTCTTCTATGGCGACCCCATGCTCTACGCCGATGGCTGCCAGTTCTGCCCCTCTGGGGTCATCCAGCCCCTTGTGTTGACACCAGGCGACCTCATCTACACTTCTGGCGGCCGCTGTGGACCCGGGGGGTCAGGAGGATATGTTGAGATGACACGTGCAGGGGCCAACAAGAAGGGCGAGGCGAGTCTGCGGGGGAACTGTTTCACCCTGAGCAAGCAGATGGAGTGCACGGCGAACGAGACGCAGCGCAGCAGCGACGAGTGCCTGGCATTCTGCAGCATGTCGCGGGAGCTGGGGCCGTGCGACGGGCACGGAGCGTGTGTGCCGCCGCAGGCGGGGGCAGCAGAGGCGTGCTTCACGTGTGAGTGCGACGACGGCTTCGTCACCACCAACGGCACCCTCGGCTCCACCTGCGCCCGCCCTGCTCCGCCCCCTGCTGCAGGTATGCTTTGTCATGGGCATGGCAGATAGATGTGTTTCTTGTTTACAAGGCGGCTTAGCAAGTTACCCATTTTACTATCTTAGTTGTAAAGCTGCAGCTTCCCATTTTGTTTCTCTTCTCAAGCGCTCTCTTCATACTCATTCTCCCCTCTTTTCTCTTCCCTCCCCCTCTCCAGCGCTCTCCACGGGTGCAGTGGTGGGCATCGCTGTGGGCTCTGCTGCCGCCTTTGCTCTCCTCCTCGCTCTCGTTGTCGCGCTGCTCTGGCCTCGCCAACGCCGTGAGGCCCTTCCCCTTTCCCCTCTTTCGGAGATTCGGACTCTTGCTGTCGTGCAGTTGTTTTTCCGCAGCGCACTTGCTTGTAAGCAGCACATTTAGCCTTGGGTGTTGCGTGCTGATGAGCGTGCTGGCATGCTGTGCTGTGTGGCATGGCAGGGCGGTGGAGTGACCTGGACGTGTGTCAGGAGTTCAGCATGGGAGAGATTCTGCGGGCGACAGACAACTGGGCGAGCAGCAATGTGGTGGGGAAGGGCGGCTTTGCCACCGTCTACAAGGGCGTGTCCAGCAAGGGCGAGCTGTGGGCTGTCAAGCGCATCGCACTCATGTCCAACGACTTCCAGACCGAGGTGAGGGAGAGAGTTTTTATGAACCAAGTAGGGGGAAAGAATTTGATCACATGCAGGTGTGTAGGTTATGTAATTGGCATAACCCTCCCTGTCTTCTGCATTAAGACTCCTTAAACTCCCCCTTCCTGTCCCCCTTCCCGTTTCCCGGCGTGGCATGCAGGTGAGGGCGATGGCGTCGCTGCGGCATGAGCACGTGGTGCGCCTGTTGGGCTTCTGCCTGCATCAGAACGTGGAGAGCGGCCAGCAGGAGCAGATCCTCGTCTACGAGTTCGTGCCCAACGGGGACCTCAAGTACCACATCCATGATTCAAAGAGTAAGCTCTGTGAAGGAGAGATTCATGTGAGCCCTACGGAGACCTCAAGTACCACATCCACGACTCCGAATGTACGCTAATTCTCCCTCCTTGGCCCGACCATTCTCTGCTGGAAAAGCTTCTCGAGTACCACATCCACCACTCCAAGTGTACGGCCATTTGCCCTGCTTAGAATGGCCATTTTTCGCGAGAATTGCTGCTGTGCCACTCGGCCCCCAATCTTGGCTTTGTTCCTCTGTCCTGCTTTTTAATTGTGGATTTTTTTCCCTCTCGTTTTCCTCTTTCTTCCCCCCAGCGCCCCTGACCCTGAAGCAGCGGCTGCAGCTGGCGGTGGGGGCAGCGGAGGGAGTGGCGTATCTGCACAGCTTTGCGACGCCCATCGTGCACCGCGACCTCAAGCCCGGCAACATCCTGGTGGGCGAGCACAACCAGGCCAAGATCGCCGACTTTGGGCTGCTCAAGCTGCTCAGCCACGCAGAGGGCGCCCACGACCGCACTCGAGTGGCCGGCACCCCGGGCTACCTCGACCCCGACTACAACCGCACCCAAGTCGTCTCCGACAAGAGCGACGTCTACAGGTGCATGCACCTAGGCTATGTCCCCACCCCTGCTTTTCTCCCTTGTGCGGCATGTGAGTTCCAGTCAAGCAGGCAACGCTGCAGGTCAAATCCTCCTCCCTCGCCTTGGGCACTCTCCCCGGCCTGTTATGCAGTCCGCCTTTCCTTGTTTTGCAGACTCTCTAAAAAATCCAGTGGACGTTTTACAGTCAAGAAAGCTCTGCTCTGCAAAATCCAGTGGCTATGTGCCGCAAATACTCTGTCGCTTTGGCTTGTGGGATATGTGAAAACGGCCATCACCTTTTGAGGCGGCTAAAAAATGCAATGGTGCCTTTTGATTTGCCTAAAAAATGCAAGGCCCCCTTTTGATTTGCCTCAGAAATGCAATGCTGCCTTTTAATTTGCCTCAGAAATGCAATGTCACTCGTGGGATATATGAATGCCAGTCAAGCAAGCAGTGCTGGAAGTCAAAGGCCTCCTCCTCTCTCCCTCGCCTGTCGTGAACCATTCTGTTTTGCATCTCCCGCTTAAACCCTTGAACGCTTTATATTCAAGAGAATCAATCCCCTAGAAACTTCACTGCTGTATATTCTCTCATCCGTTCTTGGCCCTGTTCTCCCACCGTCGTTGGAGCAGCTTTGGCGTGGTGCTGCTGGAGCTGCTGACAAGGCAGAAGGCAGCCGTGGAGGGCACCGACAGCCACATCAGTGACTGGGTGAGTAGATGCATGCATGCTGGAGTGGAGAGATGCTGGAGTGGAGAGATGCTGGAGTGGAGAGATGCTGGAGTGGAGAGATGCTGGAGTGGAGAGATGCTGGAGTGGAGAGATGCTGGAGTGGAGAGATGCTGGAGTGGAGAGATGCTGGAGTGGAGAGATGCTGGAGTGGAGAGATGCTGGAGTGGAGAGATGCTGGAGTAGAGAGCACCCATGCGTTCTACACCCTCTCCCTCCTCAAAGCGCATACGCATTTGCAATGCCCTGGCTGCGCGCAAGGTGCATGTGCACGAGCTGGGCAGCTCACTATCCTCCCTTGTTCTCTCCCCTTTCTTCTCACCCAGGCGGCACGCAAGGTGCAGGTGTACGGGCTGGGATTTTGACAATTCTTCCTTGTTCTTCCCGCCTTCACCCCCCCAGGCGGCGCGCAAGGTGCAGGTGTACTCGCTGGGGGAGCTGAAGGACGCGGGGCTGGAGGCGCCGGACGAGGCGGTGGTGGAGCTGGCAGACATCGCGCTGGACTGCCTCAAGATGCCCGCCTCTCGCCGCCCCCCCATGAAGGACGTCGCCCGCCGCCTCCACAACCTCCTCTCGCTCTACTGCGAGGACGACGACCACTTTGCCGTTGTAGAGCCCAGCCTGAGAATGGAAGGAGGGGGTGTGAGGGGCGAGGGCGGCAGCACAGACACGTTTGGAAGGAGCGGGTGGTCGGAGGGAACGAGTGGAACGTCTGCTTCCAGGAGTCTCATCCATTCGTTGTCTGAGAAGTGGCGGATGATTGAATAGCACCAGCAGCAGAAAGAAGATCGACATTGCTTGTGCTTACAAGATCCATGGCAGTGCACTAACAGATCAAAGGCAGTACAGAAATATGGTACCGTGGCAGTGCATTATTGGAATTGTTATTGCGGCGATGAAATCATTTCACGTCATAGTTTGTGTGGTGGGGGTTGTGACCAGCTCCCAAGCTTGTTGAGCATTTTCGTTGAGAATATACCGTATCTCCCCGGATATACGGTAGGTGCCCCCTGTTTTTGCCTCAAGGCTTAACATAAGCATAAGGGCTGATGAGGATTTTTTTCCGATTTCAAGCCCCTACCCAATTCATAGAGTTTTCTGCTACTGAAATACATGATGGCAGTGTGGGCGTTTCCCCATAATAGGCTAAAAAAAGTCGTCAGACAAGCTCTGGGGCTATAACAAAAGAATCCGAATAAGTGCACCCCCCCCTCCCAAAAACGATGTACTGGCTACTAGCGCCCTCTATCTGGGGGGTATTTGCCCACATTTCGACGAACAACGTGGTCTGGTTCTTAGACGGTCGTCAACACCAAGGATGTCGTTGTGGTCGTACTGTGCAGCGTGCATGTGTCAGAGCATGCATGTGACAGCAGCATGCATGTGACAGCAAGACAACCACATTAGGGTTAGGTACTGGTACTCACATTCTGTTTCAGTGCAATCATTCCGCTGTTCACATCTTTGACATGGTATCATACGATCGATCCTAGATCATATGCCCGTACCTGCCCTGCGCGACCTACAGCCCGCGCGCCCCGGCTGCCCGTGCGCCCTACCCAGTGCGCCCCTGCCCCGCGCGCTGCCCTGCCTTGCGCGCCCCTGCTACCTACGCGCAGCCCTGCCTCGTGCGCGCCTGCTGCCCGCGCGCCCCGCTGCCTGCGCGCCCCTGCTGCCCGCGCGCCCCGCTGCCTGCGCGCCCCTGCTGCACACGTGCGCTTGCTGCCCGAGGCCCCTGCTGCCCGCGCGCCCTACTGCCCGCGCGCGCCTGCTGCCCGCGCGCGCCTGCTACCCATGCGCCCCTGCTGCTCGCGCGCTCCTGCTGCCCGCGCGCGCCCTGCTGCCCGTGCGCGCCTGCTGCCCGCACGTCCTGCTGCTCGCTACCCTGCCCCGCGCCGCCCTGCCCTGCCGCGCGACCCCGTGCTGCCCAGCGCGCTCTTCTCTGCTGCTCGACGCCACGCGCCCTGCCCTGTCTCGCGCGCTGCCTGTGCTGCCCCGCGCGCCCTGCTCAGCCGCGCAAAGCGGCGAGCCCTGCCCTGCCCGCGCACCCTACCCTACCTCACGCGCCCTACCCCGCCCGCGCGCCCTACTCTGCCCGCGCACCCTGCCCTGCCCGCGCGCCCTGCCCTGCCCCGCGCGCCATGCGTTGCCCCGCGCACCCTGCCCTGCCCTACCCGCGCGCCCTGCTCTGCCCGCGCGCCGCAGCCGCCGCTGCTGCAACTACAACTGCTGCCTCTGCCACTGCAGTCATTGCAACAGCCGCTACTGCTGCTGCAGCCACCGCACCTGCCACTACAGCGGCTACCACTACTGCTACAGCTGCAGCCGCAGCCCTTGCCACTGCTGCCACTGCAACGGCCGTTACAGCTGCCGCCGCCACATTCGCTACTGCCGCCCTTGCGCCGCTGCTGCTGACTGCCGCTGCCTGTCATGGCCACTATCACTGTTCTAGCGGTTGACGCAGCCGGGCGCCCTTTCGAGTTAGATTTGTGGCTCGAGTGTCTGCGCCGGTATCTCCGGCGTTTCATTAGAGATGGCGTCTCCCTGTTCGAGTACACGTCAGGGTCCCTTCAGGCCCCCACGACTCCCACTGAGCCTGCTGCTGACGCTGGCGAGGACGTGCAATGGCGATACTGGGCGGACCGCGTTGCCTGCACACAGTGGACGGAGCGCGGCGCTATTGCCCAGCTTGCTCTCCGCGCTCACCTGCCGTTTGACCAGAGGGCCCACTTTCGTCAGGTGATGTCGGCCCAAAGTTTCTACGACGCTGTGGTTAGGCACTACTCATCCCTCTCTCCTGCCACCCAGCCACTGCAACAACGGCGTCCGTTGTTTTGGGAGTGGCGGCAGCTGGTCGAGGAGGCGAGTATAGGTGAATGTGAGTCTGCTCGCACAGGTGGTGCAACTGGTGGAGGCGGAGATTCCGGGGGTGGTCAGCAGCGGCAGCAACGTCAGCAGGAGACCCTCTCGGCGCAGCAGCTTCCTGAGTGGGTTTCCCAGCGACGCGTTTCTGGTAGTGTAGAGGCTGCTAGTCTAGGTGCTTGTGACGCTGCTAGCATAGGTGCAGTACCTGCGGAGGCTCTCCACACCTTCACACTGGACTCCAGCGGGTCTCGGTGCTTCTTCCGCGATTGTACCACTGTCACTCCGCTCCCGGCTCCTGTACCTGTCACTCTGGCCGACCCCTCCGCTCTGGTGGACCGGTTGTTGCACGTGGCTCCACTGTTCTCACGTGTCCGGCAGCCCCCTCTGGCTCTCTCACAGGTCTCCACCTCCCCTTGTTCACTACGAACTTTGTGTGAACAGCTGTCCTCCAAGATCAGTTGGTGACTACCACTACTCCTGGGGGCGAGCTCGTGGCGACCTGTACGGATTCGGTGATTGGTGACCACCTCGCCACGTTCACTCGGAGGCCTTGGTTTGGCCTGTACACACTGCACACTGAGTCTGCTCAGGTGGCTGCGTCAGGTCGAGTAGCTGTGTCTTGCTCGTGTCGAGTATTCACTCACCCCTCCCTCCTCTGGCACCACCATCTTGGTCACCCCTCCCTGCCACGCCTCCACAGTATGCACTCGCGTCTCCTGGTCTCATGTCTCCGGCATTCCCTTCCCCCGCTCGCCCGGTCGCTTGCGCCGCCGTGCTTGCCTTGCGTCGAGGGGAGACAGCGCGCTGCTCCTCACTCCTCCTCGTTTCCTCCGACCACTGCACCTCTGCAGACGCTGCACATAGATGTGTGGAGCCCTTCCCCCGTCCCTGGGCTGGGCCGAGGGCGCTAATTCCTGCTAGTCGTTGACGAGTTCTCGCGCTACACCACAATGTTACCCTGAAAGCGCAAGGGCAACGTCCGTACTGTTTCGATCCCTTGAATCCGCGCTGTTCATCGCCAGCTGGGTGCACGGTTCCGACAGGACCTCCCTGTGCTCCGCTTGCACTCTGACCGTATCGGTGAGTTTTCTTCCCGTCTTCTTGAGGTCTTCTGTCGTGAGGAAGGCATCACCCAGTCGTTCACACTTCTGACCTCTCTACAGAATAATGGGGTTGCTGAGCGCCGCATAGGCTTGATCATGGAGGTTGCTCGCACCTCCATGATCCATGCAGCTGCTCCCCATTTTCTGTGGCCGTTTGCGGTCCGATACGGTGCGCATTGCCTTAACCTCTGGGCCTGTGTCTCCCAGCAGGAGACCTCGCCTACCCTACTCTGGATGGGGGGGGTTGGTGATGCGTCGGCGTTTTAGGTCTGGGGTTCTCTTGCTCTTGTCCGCGATCCTCCGGCGGGCAAGCTCTCTCCTCGCACTCTTCGCTGCGTCTTCCTTGGCTATCCCACCGATGCCCCGCCTTGGCAGTTTTACCACCCGACCATGCGTCGCGTCTTGTCCTCTCGCGACGTCACTTTTGACAAGCCTGTCTGCTTCTACCGGCTCTTCTCCCACCGCATTTCCCCGGTGCCCCCTGCGCCTCTCTTCCTGGTTCCAGGTTACCCTCCGTTGGAACCTCCCCCCCCCCCTTTGCGTCCTGCTCCCTCAGGTGTGTCTCAGGTCGAACCACCCCCTTGGTTGAGCCTTTTGGTGTCTCTTTGGGGCCCTCTGGCCCGGCTTGGGGGGGTGACCCTGTTGCTGACGACACGACGGCCTCTCACCTTTCCCCACGCTTGGAGGCTCCTCCTGGTTTCTCATCTCGGCCGTCTTCGCCGCCTCTGCAGCCTGACGCGGTGGACTCGCGTGCTGGTTCTGGGGGTGCTACTTCTAGGGGTGCTGGTTCTGGGGGTGCTGGAGCTGGTGGTGCTGGAGGCTCTGGTGCTGGAGGTACTGTCGCTGCTGGGGCTGGAGGTGCTGGAGCTGGCAGTGCTGCTACTGCTGCTGGCCTCGCCCGATGCTGTTGAATCCCTGGCGGGAGTGTCTGCAGAAGCAGATGTGACGGTGGTAGCTGCGGCGACAGCAGAGGAGGAGGAGCAGTGCGAGTCGAATTGGAGCATGAGTGCCATGAGCAGGCCTGGCGCTGCCACGTCTCCCAGGCCTAGAATGGAGTAGGGTGATGCAGCGTCAACCTGGGGGTGAAGAGAGAGGGAGGGAGGGAGGGAGGGAGGGAGGGAGGGAGGGAGGGAGGGAGGGAGGGAGGGAGCGAGGAAGGGAGGGAGGGAGGGAGCGTTGAAGGGAGGGAGAGAGGAAGGGAGGGAGGGAGGAGGAGATGAAGGACGTAGCGAGTGGGCATGAGAACAGAAGTGGAATCAAAGAAACGGACAAGTGGGAAATAATTATGGCACTGTATGGGAAGGGGTGGCATGGCATGGCATGGCGTAACATGGCATGGTATGGCATGGTATGGCATGGCGTAACATGGCATGGCATGGCATGGTATGGCGCATAGCACTGTCAGCCCATCCATTCGACCTAGGATGCACATGGAACAGTGCACGCCACGCCACGCCACACACAGTCCAGCCAAGCATACGCACCGTCCACCGAGGGAAGACGAGCTTCATGGGGCCCACTAGGGAGTCCGATGTGGCCACCTGCACGTGACCAGGCACGGCAAGTCAAGCGGGGGCATAGGGACGGATGTATGGGCCTGCCTTCAGGTCATGGAAATGGAATGGGCTTATGCCTGCATGCAGAGGGACTTCAAAAAAACGGCCAAACATATGGGCGTGTGTATGCAGAGGGCCCAGAATGGTATGGTTTGAGAGTGGGTATTATAATGATTATACAAACAACACACGTGGGTGCCCGTGGCAGCAGCATACCGTGACCATAGCGTTGTCTCGAAGATGGGCAAGGAGCCAAACACCCTGAAGGCATTGGCTTCTGAATGAGCACATGGGTATTATACAACACACGTGGGGGGCACCGTGCCAGCAGCATACCGTGACCATGACATTGTCTCCAAAGATGGGTGAGGAGCAAAACACCCAGAACACGTCGTACAGCCGCAGCCCCACCAGCACTGCTCACGCCACCGCGAAGCTGGTGGGGGGGGGGGGGGGGGGGGGGGGGGGGGGGGGGGGGGGGGGAGGGTGGAGGAGAGGCGAGAGGAAGTTGTAGGGGGAGAGTGATGAGGAGGAGCATGGGGGGAAGGTAGGAGGGAAGGCGCCAAAGATGGGCGAGGAGCCAAACACCCAGAACACGTCGTACAACAGCAGGCCCACCAGCACTGCTGACGCCACCGCAAAACTGATCGGGGGGTGGGTAGGAGAGGGTGAGAGGGAGGTATCGAGAGGGAGTGATGAGGAGGTGCATGGGTGATGACGAGAAGGTGGTGGTAAGGCCCAAAGGGAAGTGTGTGGGCAGGTGGGTGAAGAGGCACCAAACACCCAGAACACGTCGTACAGGTGCTGGTGGGGCTGTAAAGTGCAAGTGACGAGGAAGCGCATGGTAAGCTGCATCCACTTTCCTCATACCACCCACTCTCTCCCCTCCCCCCCCCCCCCCCCCCCCCCGCTCCCCCCCCGCTCCCCCCCCCTCCTTCCCTCCCTCCCCCTCCCTCCCCTTCCCTTCTCTCCCTCCCTCCCTCCCTCCCTCCCTCCCTCCCTCCCCCTCCCTCCCTCCCTCCCTCCCTCCCTCCCTCCCTCCCTCCCTCCCTCCCTACCTCCCTCCCTCCCTCCCTCCCTCCCTCCCTCCCTCCCTCCCTCCCTCCCTCCCCCACCCCCACAGACCATAGCTCTCCTCAAATCTGAGGCTAGGAAGTCGTAGCTGCGGAGGGAGAGCATATGCAGCACCTCGGAGACAATGCAGACGGCCACTATGTTGCCCAGGGAGAAGGGCACTGAGGGCTGCATTGATGCCACCGCCATCGCCATGCCCACTGGTGGGGAGGTGGGGTACGCATGGTGGGTGGGGATAGTCGGGGATAGGTCACGCGGGGTGGTTGTGAGGGAATAGCAGGTGATTGGAGAGGGGAAAGGGAAGCGAGATTCATGCGAGTCGCAGGGCGCCATGCTCACCGGTGGGTTGGTGGGACACATGTGGACAATGAGAGGAGATAGCCAAGTGAGTGAGGGGCAAGCAATGAGAGAAGCGAGCGCGGGAAAAGAGGAGGGATGGGGGCGAGAACGAGGGACGGGAGGGCAAGAGGACGGGAGGACGAGAGGACGAGAGGACGAGAGGAAACAGAGAGATGTAGTCGATTGACAGGCATGATATCCATTGACAGCACGCAATACCATCCCACACCATGCCATTCAGTTCTATCCCATCCCATCCCATGCCATCCCATGCCATCCCATGCCATGCCATCCCATCCCATCCCATCCCATCCCACCCCATCCCATCCCATCCCATCCCATCCCATCCCATCCCATCCCATCCCATCCCATCCCATCCCATCCCATCCCAACACATCCCATCCCATCCCATCGCATCCAATCCCCACCCACGCATTCCCCCCAACATAATAGGCAGCTCAACAGCAGAGCCTGTGAGAGGGCCCGGTGTGACTCACAGGCAGACAGCACGTCGGTTGCTGAAAGGGTGAGCACTGCTGGTGCCGCGGCGGACGCAGGAGGGGATGAGGAGGAGGAGGTGGGTGTAGAGGAGGGGGGTGTGGAGGAGGGGGGTGTGGAGGAGGAGGGAGAGGAGGAGGAGGGAGAGGAGGAGGAGGGGGAGGAGGAGGAGGGGGAGGAGGAGGAGGGAGAGGAGCTGGTGGGGGAAGGGGAGGTCTCTAATAGCCACGAGGGAATGTCTGGATGACGGGGGAACATGAAGGGCAAGGGGAGAGAGACGAGAGGGAGAGTAAGATGAGTTAAAGGGGAAATGAGGGGTAGAGAAGAGAAGGAGATGGGAAGGAGAGGAGGGGAGATGAATAGAGTGAGCGAGGGGCTGGTGGGGAGTGGGGGAGGAAAACGGCAAGAAGAGCAAGAAGAGAACAATACGCACGAACAGCAAATACTAAGAGATACGGAGAGGAACAAGGTGAGTGGCCAGGGCTAAAGCGACCCTGCGTTGCTCGAGACAACAAAGAGAAAAAAAAGGGTAGCAGCAGAAGACGAGCAGCCATGAGGTGGGGCGGACCAAGAATTGGTGCATTGGCACGCGGTGAAGGAAACTGAGCTCTGCATATGTCCTCCTTGCTCGTCCATGTGCAGGAAGAGGGGAGAGAAGTAAGGCAGGAGGGAGGAGGAAGAAAACCAACAGCAGAACATAACGCAGCACAGCACAGCACGGCACGGCACAGCACAGAACAGAACAGAACAGCACAGCACGGCACGGCACGGCACAGAACAGAACAGAACAGAACAGCACGGCACAGCACGGCACGGCATGGCACGGCACAGCAGCCATGCACAAACACGCCCACCCACCACTAGGGCGCATCCGCACAACCGCACACATTAAGGGAGACCGACAGGTGGGTCGTTGATCTCCTTGGGCAATGCGACCTTGAGTGGGTCAGCGAGGTGACTGGCGACGGCAGCCCCACCGACGAGCGTGAGGTAGGAGGAGAAGAGTAGGACACACGATCATACACATACACCACATAACACCTCAGCCCCCCACCGCACAGCACATCAGCCACGCACCCATCCCACCGCAACTGCACGACCACAGAAGCACACACACCTAGCGTGACCGACAGCCTCTCGTTGATCTCCTTGGGAAGAGCGGCCCTGAGTGGGTCAGCGAGGTGGCTGGCCACTGCAACCCCACCGACGAGCGTGAGGTAGGAGGAGAAGAGCAGGACACACAGCCACACAGCACAGAAACCCACTGCACCGCACAACACCGCACATCACAGCACAGCACAGCACAGCACAGCACAGCACAGCACAGCACAACACAGCACAACACAACACCGCACAGCACAGCACGACACAGCAGGACACAGCAGCCAGCCACGCGCCCAGCCTACCTCTATCAGAGGACAGAACGACCGAACACACACCTAGCGTGACAGAGAGCCGGTCATTCATCTCCTTGGGGAGAGCAGCCTTTAGTGGGTCAGCGAGGTGACTGGCCACTGCCACCCCGCCCACGAGCGTGAGGTAGGAGGCGAAGAGCGCAGGACACACGGCCATACACATACTGCACAGAAACACACTGCACCGCACACCACATAACAGCTCAGCCCCGCACCACACATCACAGCAGCCACACGCCCATCCCACCACAGCTGCACGACCACACAGCAGCACACATACTTAGCGTGACCGACAGCCTGTCGTTGGTCTCCTTGGGCAGAGCGGCCTTGAGTGGGTCAGCGAGGTGGCTGGCCACTGCCACCCCACCGACGAGTGTGAGGTAGGAGGAGAAGAGCACTCGCAGGTCCAGGTCTGGGGCAAAGCGCAGAAGGCAGTAGAGAGAGAAGAGCGTGATGGAGCAGAGCACGGGCACTGCCCTGCTCTGCTGCATGCTCACTGCCTGCACGGGGGGGCGGGTGAGGCTGGTGGGGTGGGAAAGGATGGGAGGGAGGGAAATGGAGGGGAAGGGAGGGGAAGGGATTGGGGTTCGAGGTGGGGAGAAAAGGGGGTAAAGGAGAGAGTACGGGGTGATGGAATGGGGAGGTGGGGAAGGGGGCAGAGAGGCAAAGAGGAGAGTGTGTTTAGGCGGTGAAAAAAAGGATGACGGTATAGAGCAGAGGATGGGCACTGCCATGCGCAGCTGCATGCTCACCAGTAGGGGGGGAGTAGGGGGTGACGGAATGGGGCGATGGGGTGAGGAAGAGGACAGAGAGGAGCGGAATGGGGAGATGGGGTGAGGAAGAGGACAGAGAGGAGCGGAATGCAGAGATGGGGGTAGGAGGAGAAGAGGAGAGCACTCGCAGGTCGAGGTCCGGGACGAAACGAAACTGGACATTAGTGGTTGCAGGGGGGAATTGGACATGGCTGCAGGCGGTGACCCTGATCTGATTCTTAGTGGAAAGGCATAGGGGCTTCGTGGGAGGAGAGGAGGAAAGGAGGGAGAGTGCGGTGCAAGCCATGGATGGAGCCGCAAGCAAGCACGCACACAAACTTCTGAGACGTCTCAAGAGTGTGGGCCATGAAGCCGCAAGCACGTAGATAGGCGGGTGGCTACCCGTGTACCGTACAGCGCTCCTAATGTTTTGAGAGAGAGAGAGAGAAAAATAATGGCCTTGAGCAGAGCGCGAGCAGTCGAGGCGCCTCAGAAATCGACCGCTAAGCGCACCTGCAGCGAGGGGTAAAAAACCAACTCCCTCATGCGGACCCCTCACGCGTGAACAAGAGAGCCCTGAGCACTGAGCACACCTGCGGAATTCACTTTTGAGAATTCTCAAAAGTGATTTCAACAAGAGAGCCCTCCCCGCTCTGAGCGCACCTGCGGTGGCTGCCCACGTAGACGGCCCAGAGCGCACCTGTAGTGAGGGGTAATGATTTTGACCCCTCACGCGTCACGCGTTCACAAGCTGAGCGCGGCGCACATGCGGTGGCTGCCCACGTAGATGATAAAGTTTAGAAGAAAGAAGAGAAGAAGGGGGTTGCACTAGCAAGAATGGGGATACAAATAGCAAACCCTAGAAGGGTTGTACTCGCTATAGAGCACCCCACTACAGGCTAGAGCATAAGATAACATTCTGACAGTAGACGGCCCAGAGCGCGAGCAGGCCGAAGTAGAGCGGCGCGGACCACTGGCAGCGCGGTAGCGCGGGCACCACGGGCACCGACATCAGCAGTGCAGAGATAAACTCTACCACGGTGGGAGCTAGACTATGGGGTAGGCACGAGTTGTCAGAGTGATCGTAGCTCTGTCTGTGTTCTCTAGGACTTGTGTTTTCACAGGGCAAAACAACAAGAGTTTTACTAAGGAAAGTTGAGAATACAGAGTTCAGAATGAGAACAAGCAATGGCAAGAATGGGGATGCGCGCGTGGGAGGACGGGGAGGGGGGAGTGAGTGGCGGAGGACTAGGTGAGCGGGGGAATGCGTGGCGGAGGGCGGGGAACGGGGAGAAGACCACACGGGTGAGGGATCGGCGAAGGCCCTTCTAAGTCGACCCTTGATTCTTAGGGGAGAAGATTGTCAAACTATATATATGCTTTATAATTGGGTGTAGGCTGTACTGGGGTAGCCAATGTGGGGTACAACCCCTTTAGGTTTATACTTGTACCAAACTCTCTCCATAGTTAACCATCCTTGCTACTTCTCTTAACATGGTATTAAGAGCCTTAGGTCATTAGGACCGTTTTAGGACCGTTTTTTAGGGCCCACCTATCGCTTCCGGTTACCGTGCTACCCCGCGCCCTGCCCTGCCCTGCGCCGCGCCGCTAGCAGCCCGCGCGTCGCCTTTGCGTAGCCCGCGCGCAGCTCCTGCTGGCCCGCACACCGCCCGCTAGCAGCCCGCGCGACCCGCCTGATGTCCGCGCAGCCCGCGCGCAGCTCCTGCCGGCTCGCGCGCCGCCCGCTAGCAGCCCGCGTGCCCTGCGCGCTGCCTCGCCGGCCGTCTGCTACGCCCCGCGCGTCGCCCGTCGCGCTGCCCCGCAGCCCTGTGCACCGCCCGCCCAGCTGCCCTGCCGGCCCCCTGCAGCCCCATGCGCCGCCTGCCCTGCTGCCGCGGCTGCCTGCTGCGCCCTGCCCTAAGCGCCCTGCCCGCGCTGCCCTGCGCCCTGCCCGCCCTGCCAGCGCTGCAGCCGCTGCTACGCTGCTGCTGCCACCAGCGCCGCACTGCCCCGCCGTGCCCGAGCCGCGCCGCACTGCCCGAGCCGCGCCGCACCGCCCGAGCCGCGCCGCCTTGCTGAGCCGCGCCACGCAGCCTAGGGGCCTGGCATTAGGTTTCTACTGCTGCTAGTGCTACTGCTGCTGCTACTGCTGCTTGCCTGCAATCGCTCTGCCCTGCCAGTCCCGCGCCAGCAGCTATGGCCACCCTCCGCGTTCTGTCGTTCGATGCTGAGGGCCGCCCGATTCAGTTTGAGACCTGGCTCGATGACCTGCAGCTGTTCTTAATGAGCGATAGCAAGGATAACGTCTCTCTCTTTGACCACACATCTGGTGCCTCAGTCGCTCCTGCTGCCACAGCTGAGCTTAGCGCTCGTTCCCAGTGGCAGACTCGTGATGCTTCTGCTCGCCTAACCGTTCGCAATCACCTTCCGTTAGCTGAGCTCACGCATTTGGCGAGTACAAGACCGCTAAGGCCCTTTACGACGCTGTAGTGGCTCGATACTCAACCCCTGCCACAGCCGAGCTTAGCCGCCTCATGCTGCCCTACCTGTTTCCTGAGCTGTCCACCTTTGCCACAGTTGCCGATCTCATTACCCACCTTCGCACTAGAGACACCCGCCTTCGCGCCGCCCTCCCCAAAGAGTTCTGTGCTAAGCACCCGCCTCCGATGTACTGGACCCTCCACTTCATAGTCACCCGTCTCCCTGACTCTCTTAGCTCGGTCAGGGACCACTTTCTCGCTCGCTGTCCCACCGAACTCACTGTCGACCTCCTAGAGCAGCACCTCCTTGCAGCAGAGAAGAGCATTGTCGCTGTAGCTGCTGCTCGTGGCGCTCCTCGCATCCCCATATTTGAGGGGTGCTCTCCCTCTCCCCTCGCCCCCTCCTTCGCTACTGCTGCTGCTGTTGACTTCCTTGGTGCTAAGTCTGCTGGTGCTGCTTCTGCTCCTAGTGGGGAGGCGCCGCAACGGCAAGGGCAAGGGAGCCAAGGGTAGCGGAGGTGGCACCGGGGGGGGGTGGTGGTGGAGGCGGTGGAGGAGGAGGAGGTGGCGGAGGGATTGGTGGCGGGAGTGCTGGCGGGAGTGGTAGCATCGGTAGCGGCGGTGGAGGCGGTGGCGGCGGAGGAGGCGGCAGCGGCGGTGGCGGCGGCGGTGGCAGCGGAGGTGGCGGTCGGGGCGGTGGTGGCGGTGGAGGTGGCGGTCGGGGTGGAGGCACGGGCGCTGGCCAGAGACAGCAGCAGCAGCAGAGTCCCCAGACGACCCAGCAGCTTCGTGAGTGGCTTGCTCAACGTGGGAGGTCTGGGGGTGGTGGTCGCTGCCCGTATGTCATTCGAGGGTCAGACATGCGGGAAGTTCCACACCCAACACCGCTGCTTCTCCCGCCTTGACGACGCCTGGCGTGAGGAGATGGGCGAGGACGCTGAGCGCCCTCGCTGGTATGCCGCCTGACCCCTGTATAGAGACTGGTACTCTAGGTGCTGGTGAGGCTGCTGCCTTAGGTGTGAGCGAGTCTGTTCTCTCGGGTACTGCGCCTGCTGAGGCCTTGCACACCTTCACGCTTGACTCAGGTGCTTCCCGCTGCTTCTTTCGTGACAGTACCGCACTCACACCACTCCCTGCACCTGTTGCACTCTCTCTGGCTGACCCCTCAGGGGGTCCAGTTCTTGCCCGGTCCACCACTGTGCTTCTGTGCCCGGCAGTTCCGCCTGGCTCACTGTCAGGTCTCCACCTCCCCTCGTTCTGGACGAACTTGGTGAGCAACGCCGTCATCCAGGATCATTGGGTTGACACCTTTACCCCTGGAGGACAGCGTGTGGCGATTTGTACGTGCTCCATGACTGGCCGTCACCTGGCCACGTTCACCCGTCGGCCAGGGTCGAGTCTTTACACACTGGCGACTGTGTCTCCTCAGGTAGCTGCTGTCGGTCAGGTGTCTGCGTCAGGTCTGGTAGCCCCCCCCTGTGAGTGTCGCTCCCTGTCGCACCAGACTCTTCTCTGGCACCACCGCCTGGGTCACCCCTCCTTGCCACGTCTCCGTGGCATGCACCGTCGCCTCCTTGTGTCTGGTCTTCCCAGGTCTCTCCCTCCCCTCCCTGCCTCGCCTGCGCCGCCCTGTCTTCCTTGTGTCGAGGGGCGGCAGCGCGCCGCTCCTGACTCCTCCTCGTTTCCCCCGACATAGTCTCCTCTGCAGACCCTCCACCTGGACGTGTGGGGCCCAGCCCGCGTTCGTGGTCAGGGCGGTGAGCGGTACTTTCTGCTGGTTGTCGACGACTACTCGCGTTACACCACGGTCTTCCCCTTGCGCACCAAGGGTGAGGTCCCTGCTGTCCTGATCCCTTGGATCCGAGCAGTTCGTCTCCAGCTCCGCCGCAGGTTCCGTCAGGACCTGCTTGTCCTGCGTCTGCACTCTGACAGAGGTGGTGAGTTCACCTCCGACCTCTTGCGGGCCTTCTGTCAGGGGGAGGGCATCGAGCAGTCGTTCACGCTTCCGGGCTCACCGCAGCAAAATGGGGTTGCTGAGCGCCGCATTGGCTTAGTCATGGAGGTCGCTCGTACCTCCTTGATCCATGCGGCGGCTCCCCATTTTCTGTGGCCGTTTGCGGTCCGGTACGCCGCGCAGCAGCTCAACCCCTGGCCCCGTGTCTCCTTGCCGGAGACCTCGCCCACACTGCGTTGGACGGGGGAGGTTGGCGATGCGTCGCGTTTCCGGGTCTGGGGTGCTCGTGCCCTTGTCCGCGATACGTCCGCGGACAAACTCTCCTCCCGCACCATTCCCTGTGTCTTCCTTGGCTTTGTCCCTGACGCTTCTGGCTGGCAGTTTTACCACCCCACCTCGCGCCGTGTCTTCCCCTCTCATGACGTCACCTTTGACGAGTCGGTTCCTTTCTACCGCCTCTTCCCCTACCGCACTGCCCCTCTCCCTCCCCCGCCACTTTTCCTCGCTCCAGGTCCCCCTCCGGTAGACCCCCTCCCCCCTCAGGGTCCTGCTCCTTCAGGTGTGTCTCAGGTAGACCCGCCCCCCTTGGTTGAGCCTTTAGAGGTCACTAGCGACTCAGGTGCTGCTGCGGGAGGTGCTGCTTGTTGAAGTTAGAGAAGCCATGGATGGCGAGAGATTTTGGTGAGGTGAAAGAAGTTGCACTAGGAAGAGAAATGTCGAGGTACAAAAGAGAGAGGGTTGGAAACCCTAATTGAACCTAGGGTGTGTTCGGTTTGTACTAACAACTACGAAATGAACCTAAAATGAACCTGAATACGTAACTCTCTCTAAGCATGGAGAAATAATATAAGAACACCAAAATAAAGGCCAGAGCGAGCTCTAGCCTACTCCAACACACCCCCAGGCTAGGTGAAGCTCTCGAGAAAAACACCTAGCAAACCGGCACACCCCCAGAAGTGGAGAGACGCGTGAGCCCAAGCTCGCGCACGTAGAAACGGTGTGGCGCACGCAGAAGGGCCTTGGTGAAAATGTCAGCAAGGTTGGAAGCAGCGTCCACCTTGCGAAGACGTAAGTAACCAGACTGCACCAGCTCGCGCACAAAGAAATAGCGG